ATCCTGTATATTTTATTATTTCTACATTTCTAACCCCCGATTGCACAATGTCAATCCTCTTAGTTATTATGCTACTTTGTTTGAGTTTTACCCATCCCCCTGTTTATTATGGCATTCTAATTCCTAATTGTAATTTTTATTAATTTAACCCCTAACCAGAAATTATTCTGGAACTTTCCCATCCATTTGATATAAATACACGAATGTACAGCCTAGATGATGACTTCATCGAAAAGAAAATTTTCTTCGCTGCAACTGTCTTTTTATTCACTGTATGATATATAAAATAAACATATCTGACATGGAATTATATGCTACTACAGTGTCCAGATTTATAGGTCATAATCAAATCAAATTATCCTCCAGCATCACTTTCAGATTTCATTTTCAATATAGTCCTCTTATTTCTAATCCTCTGATTATATCGGTAATAATATTTTCTGTATATCCGGCGCTGAATCATCAATATTACATTCGTTAGGTGTAGATTCGATGCACAAAAATTCAGTAATCAACCTTTCTCTCCGCCTACCTATCATACTTTTTAGAATTGTAACTGTGTGCTGATGCACATGTTGAGATCGCTGAGTTCTTGTCTAAAATATTCATCTTACTCTGTCAATCATTCTACACTTTGCTAAATTCTAATGCTCTGATAACCTGACTGAGTCCTATTCACTGGTCGAACTCATGTAAATGACCTAACTGACAGCTATTGCAAGGTATTTTGTCAGTTACATTATTTTGTAAAGTCGACAGTGTGCTTTAGACCACACAGCATGTCCCAAAATGAGTTTGTAGATTTTAATGTCGCCATTATTATTATTCCCTTCAGTTCCGAGTGGAACATAGGGCCTCAACACACACACATCTCCACTTTCTTCTATTTTCTGCCATCCTCTTCAGTTGGGTCCACGATTGCCCATAATCTCTCATCTCTTCCTCACACGATCTCCTCCATGTCGACCTAGGACGACCCACCTGTCACTTCCTATTTGGATTCCACTCGAGAAATGGTCTGCATTGCGCTTGATGTCAGTAGCTTCCCTACTACTTTTTCCTTCTTTCCTTCATGGTCTTCCCAGTGAGTTTTGTGAGATGATTTGTTTCCTCTGTATGTTTTATTTTATTATCATTATACCAGTTGGGTCTGATTCATTCCCTCTACCCGGGGCTAAGAAATATTTATAGTTTTGATTGCGTTGATGCTGAACTTCCTTCCCTAGAAACACGAAACATGAACTCTCTAAACTGGTCACTAACGCATTTCCAAAGAAAATCGTCTTCATGAATGTGGAATTCCAAGGCGATTATGCTTCAGGCATGCTCGAAAATCATCTTTCTAAATCATTTTGCAAGACGATCCTTACGGCTAAACTCCAATTGATCCTAAATTTTCAGTAGCTGTCCAGTGGTGTCCTCAAAACTGAAAACTCTATGTTCTAATCTTAACACCTTCTCTACGTGCATACTCCATCTTACCCATTCTGATGGTTGAGATTATATAGGCAAGCTACAGGATTAGGTAGGTTTATCTACGGATACGAGGACATTTACCTTCCTGCTTCACGAATAGAGAAATCAAATGAAAGCAAAGTTCAATTCTGTGGCGTTTCGTAGATATACATGACATCACCGACGTCGACGACGACATGCGGAATTGTGAAATCACTATCACTCACAGTTCGCCTACGTCTTCTGTTTATACAGCTGGAGCTGTTACAATAAGGTTGAATAAACTACTATTATTATTATTGTATCCTTTAATTCCTAGAGGAACATAGGACTTCAGTCGCGCGTCTCTATTGCGTTCGGTTCTCTGCTAGAGGCTTCATGTCTGCCCACACGTTTTCATCTCCTCTTCACATGACCTCCTCCAAGTCACCCTTGCACTGACGACCAACTCGCCGCTTCCCTTTCTGGTTCCACTCAAACGATGGCTTGTCTAGTGATGTCACTTGATGGTTTCCTGAGAGTATGGCCAATCCATCTCCATTTCTTCCTGCTTATTTGCTTCACTATCGTTTCCTGCTGGGTTGGTTCGCTCCCAGAGATCCAACTCTGTTGCTGATCTTTTCTGGCCGGCCATCTGATCTTGAGCTAAGTATTGAGCGAAGACAGATGTTAATGAAGGTCTGTAGTTTGTTTGAGATGGTCTTTATGACGCGCAGTGCAAGTCTCTGATCCGTATAGTGAGTAGCACTGACTTCACATTGGAGTTGAAAATCCGGATCTTATTCTGATTTTGATGCTGAGTGCTGTTGACCTCCACACAGACTTGAGAGTAGTGAAAGCTTGTTTTGCTTTTCCGATTCTTGCTTTGATATCCTCGTCAGTTCCGCCTGTAGTTGAGACGATGACTAAACTAGAGCGTATTATTAGAAATGAACACATTTAGATAGACTTTTTACCAGGAGTATCCGAACTCAGATTAAAAGTTCTCTTTTCCAAAAGTACTTTTTCCTCTTATCAAATTTTCGTAACCATTTTTTAATTATTTATTTCCCTTCCTCTCAGTTCAAAACAATTTTATACGCGATGTTTGATTTTTCTGATGTGTCCACAATCTGCGTCTTCAGTGCTTCAGTCTGATATTTGTCGAGAATCTTGAACACTATGGGTGAAAACCATACATGTGTAACTTTCTGAGCACTGTTTATTAAGTTCGGAGTCTCCTATCAACTGACATCATGTAACATTTGTAAGTATGTTTAAATTTTTCTGTTCATAAACTCAGTAATTTCTTAACCCTGTATGTGACTGATGAGAAGCGCACGAAATAAATGATGGTGCCATCTTATTCAGCACAAACTGTTGTTCTAGCTTTATTTAGCTGCATAAAAGGGGAATGAGTGTATGAAATGTCCATAATCTATCTTACTAGTCTACCAGACAAACAAAAACAAATCACATGTTGAGCCTCGTGCCTCGTGGGTCAATATATGCCATATATTTTTGCACTCTTGGTAACTTTCTCTTTCATCTGATTTGGAAATACACGTTGCCACCCCTGCTGTAGGGAGCCTTCTGGATTTAACTATTACAGTAAGGGAATAATCAACCAGGAAATTATCAAGGGTTCACATACCGTCCGTCAATCCTCATTCGTACTCACACTCAGTGACATCATAAAAAAATGCGTACACTTCATCCCTTCAATATTATCAGTTCTTCCATCTTGATTTATTATGAGTGACATTATATCTTTTCTCAATATATGACTCCATTTGTTTCACTTCACATATTGATTATTTCATAATGAACTATTCACTGTAGCCTCACCATCTCCTATTCAATGCATGCTGTTTTGTTCTAGCCAATCAACTGACACCTTTTATAACCTTGAACTAACTGACTTATCAATTTCCGTTTGCTACATTGTATGAATTTATCAATGACTTGTTACCAAAATCATCGTCGTCTCGCATTACATGGTATTTCGTGACTGCATTCAGTCCATCACCTTTGTTATTCTACGTGAAAAAAATGTATCCACAGAATAATTGGCTATTATCGTAAAGATAGATGTTATATTCAACAGTTCTACGAACCTAGCGCAACAGCCAATTAATGTCACTGGTGAATAACTGTTCTTTTGCCCGACTTGAACTGGTCAAAACTTCTCACTAGAACTCCGGGTAACTTCCTGCACAGAACCAACTGCTAGTGAGCGTCAGCATAATTATCAAGTGTTGACCTGATGGAGGTGATTTGATTCGTTACATGTTTGACCACGAACTGATATCAGTTAGAGAACCACTGGAAAGCCAGCGGTTGTTTCGTCATAGTCTAGGACTCTTCATCAGTACGAAAATGAAAGAATTTAAGATGTCAAATCGAGAATCGGGAAGGCGAGAAATACATTCATCAACCTAAAACCATTCTGGAAATCTTCGTCACTCAGCCTGCATCAACAACAAAATTCGGATTTTCAATACAAACGTCAAGTCAGTCAGTTCTTCTATACGGATCAGAAACTTGGCGGGTCACAAAGAATATTTCCAACAGCCTGTTGCAGACCTTTATCAACAGCTGTCTTCGTTCCATACTCAAGATTAGATGGCCGGAAAGAAACAACAACCAACAAGAAAGTATGAGAACAAACAAAACAGGAACCAATCGCCCAACAAATATGCAGGAGAAAATGGAGATGGATTGGACACTCGCTGAGGAGGCCGCTGGGTGACATCGCGCGTCAGGCCATCGCTCGAGTGGAACCCGAAAGGGAAGCGGCGAGTGGGACGTCCAAAGGTGACATGGAGGAGATCGTGTGAAGAGGAGCTGAAGCAGTATGGACTAAGATGGATGCAGGTGAAAAGTACAGCAGAAGACAGGAGCAAGTGGAGACGTGTAGTTGAAGCCCTATGTTCCACTAGGAACCCAAGGGAACAATAATAATAAATAAGCACACAACCTTCATTCATACCGAAAAATATATATATATTTATTTCAGTTTACCAAGCAGGAAAAAGAGATAAACTGCCTTATTTCATCTACGCAATATTATTAATAATAGCAGTACATGAATTGTACAGTCCTTTGAATCTCTTTACTCCGTCTCTTTGTTCATCTGCTGAATGTTTATGTGTGTGTGTGTGTCCTTGTGTTTTATTAAGCGTCAATACAATTAAGATAATAGAAGCATTTCAACGGAATAAAGACTCGTATTCATTTTTATGTGTGTGTTATGTTTTCAAATGAAAACGAAGAGGTTTTAACAAGTGGAAGAGTGTTACATCATACAAGAAATATTACTCAACTCCCACATGTTGCTAAGTCAGCGCATACATAACCATATATAATACCTATAATGCGTGTATTTGTGTATGTGATAATGATATATTATGTATATTAAGTGTCCAAAAGACATTTGTGTATATTGTACTGCTTGAGTCATGCAGAGACATGTTGATTGTCTGTGTGTGTGTGTGTGTGTATAAGTAGATCGATTGATTTGCCTTTCATTAGGGCATAGAAATAACAGTTTTCATTCGGTCAGTAGGTAGACGCAGAAAAAAAAACAACACGAAAAATAAAAATAAACACACGATCTAATTAAACGGATATTCATTAGCGAATAGGTGAGGTGTTACAGCGTCATCAGTTTGAGACAAGGAATGATTGGAAGCACATGAAAACTAGTCAGTTTATGAGGAAAGGCGACATTGGATTTCAGTGTAATCATTAATTAATAGTAATAATAGGTATTTTTAGACATTAGAAAGTCGACAGGATTGTTTTATTTGAAGTAAGGCTGAAAAATTCGAAAAAAAAACAAAGACTCAAAGAAATGTAAATAAACAATAACAAACTAAGAGCAAAAAATCTAACTGACTTCGAAAATGAGGTGAGCTGTATTGAAGAGAGTCTCAAAACTGTTCAATGAATTTTATCATTTTTGTTTAGTGGTATAATGTGGTTAGTGATAGTTTTGAGGTAAAGCGTGGAGTGAGTGTTAAGCAGTAGAGGAGAATTCATAGATGAGTTTGTGAAACTGTGCAGATAGTCATGGTTAGGGTTTATGGTGCACATAGCAAGCGGTCAATTTCCTCGTCGAGGAATGTTGGGTGATATAGGATTAGGTTGGAAGAGATTTCCAGGTGGTTAGACTGCCTGGCCAGTGCTAACTGGTCGATATCGGTCTGTGGAGAAATCGGTTTTCAAATGAAAGCTGAATTCTTTCTGTAATATAGTATTGGCAGTTTCATTTAGTGAATTACATGTCACAAGACTTAGGGTTCAACTCTGAATGGCAGGTGGATTGGAAACTTTGATGGTGTTAGGATTTCAACAACTCGTTTAGAGTTCTAAACAAGCAATGGTTACGAAAACTGAGAAATACATAGGAAAGGAGCAAGTGTTCAGCTGACAAGCTGTGTAGTGAATTACTTCCACTTGAGAAGTGTCTAAAATAAAATAATACTGTTTACTGCAAAGCTGCATGTAAAAAGGTGGTGAAAGTACTGCCAATAAAAAGTGACTAGCCTAGCCTAGTTTACTAGCCAGCATTAAGCCCGGAAAAAAGGGGAATTAAGACGGGGGCCTAGTAACTCGACTGAGAAAATCCGGCCCATTATCCGTATGAAAATTTCAGAGTAGAGAATAAATAAGCTTATTCTGTTCATGACTCCAGAAGACACCTCGGCACTTAGCATACAGAATAAAATGAGAATTTTCAACACTTAGATCAAATAACTCGGTGCTTCTATATAGTTAAAAGACCTGACCTGTGTGCTGTTTAATAGAAATCCCAACAGATCATTGGTGGATTTTATCAACACCTGCCACCTTTACTGCCTGGAGGGTGTTAGAACGCTCGCTAGCATTCAGGATAGCAAATGTCTCTGCCTGATAAGCGTTAATAATTACAAAGTCTAGATAGACTGGATGCCATCTTAGACTCAAAATACCTATGTTTCTCTTGTACTCAGATACTTCAAGGCTTAAGTTACATGCATGGCTTAGAACAAATCATATATTCACTTACTTCATATAACTTGAAGGTCAGCTTTTATGTCTTGACATTTAAACTTCAAGAAATAGGCAGATAAGCAGTAGACTGTGTCGCAGATGCGACTACTTTCCTTCTAGAATTATATGGGCCATACGCACTCCTTGAAAGAGATTCATTTGATTGTCGCAGACGAGTATTTGATTTTCCAGAGTTATGTAGTTTAGTAAATGAGATTGATTTATCAGTTGAACTATTGTATGGATAAATTGATGGCCTGTGGAGTTTTCTGGTCAAAATAAAAGGAAGAAAAAAAGCAGAAATTGTAAATTATGCTTCTGATGCAGCAGGTTGGAGACACGTGCGGTGATCCCATGGTAGAGTGCTCGATAACGACACACACTCACGTGGTCAGATCTCGATTCGCAACTTCTTAGGCACACCTAAACCTCGCCTAGTGTGTACTAGCCAGTAACAAACGCGTAAGAGAAAGAAGCTTGTGTGCATAAGGATGACAAACTCAACACTACAGCTACTGAAACTTCCAAAAATAGCTTGAAACCCCACTCGAAACGTTATAGAGATGAAAATAAGTTAAATATGCCTTAACAATATTTTTTTAATCCATCGAATATAATTCAAAAGTTCAGTGGTATTATGAGAAGTGTGCATACTTAAACAGTTTTACACTTGTAGAAATCTTTTGGAGATATTTCACAAAAATTGAGTTGAACTCATTTTTTTCACCGTAGTAGACAGATGTCTGTACAGATAGGGGAACTATTACTATTCAAGTGACCACACTTTATAAACATGCAAATTTGGGCAGAGAAAAAGGAAGTGAGAGGGAGTTATAGTGAATGGAAGTGTGCGGGATAGAGAACAAGTACACTGAGAATAATGAGAATATAATGGATGTGAGAGATTACAAAGAATAAATACATTTATGCCGTTGAGAATGGTTCTCAGTCATATCCGTAATGAGAGTCTCTCAATGACGCTAACCAACCAGACACTCTACTACTCCCATCTCGGTCGGCTCAAACCAACAGCCAAACATCTCATGAATTCTTCTAATTCTTTTGGATTTGACCACCACTAATTATCTTTCCCAATCCAGTACGTTGCTCATTGAACAAGGATGATGCTTCTGCATGCATAACTATGTATCTTCACCCACCAGTGAAAACGTTCAAAGAGTCTACAATTCACCTTACTGAAACATAGACAATACTTATTTGCTTAAGTTGATTTTATACTATCTGTTAATCAATTATAGTCGACCGACGGTTGGCTTCTAACAGGGGGGGGGAGGATTAACATAATGTAATTTGGTGTATGGTGACTAACACTGGGATGCATGACGCCCATTTCATCCTATCAAGAACTCATCACCTGGATGTACGTACAATCCCCACTGTGACTCTGGCCCAGCAGCAGTCGTTCCAGGTAACCTAATAGATAACGCTTTGGCGTCTAAAATAGGGAGAAATAGGAATTCTAGATGATACTGCTAGCCATCATTAACCAAATAGCTTATTATTTCAGTTATCATTGAAAATAAATAAAAGTATGCCTTGAACATCAAACTTACTTTTCAATGGATATTTCCTCTTTCCATGGTATCTGATATGCAGAAGGCTTACGAAGAGAAGAAGAAGAAGAAGCAGAATACTGTTGACAGCCATCTGTATGATAACATGACACAGTTCCATCTTTTGACTGACTTACTGGTCGATTTCCAGGCTGTTTTGTATCATCCAAACACCAAACAGGTGTATAGTCAATTGATGATTGTGGGCGTGCTTTATTAATATTACTAGTGCTACTAATATTATTAATACTGTTTGACTGTTTGTTTAAATGTATTATTGGATAGTAATCAGATGGCGGGAAATTTCGTCGAACTGATTCAGTTGATATTGTCTGTTGTAAGGTAGTACTAGCTGATGATTTTAAAGACCCCCGATTAGCTGAAGTGACTGTAGCACACGAAGAATTACTAATTTCATCACGTCGACCAACTGAATAACTAATTTTTTTCGATTTAAGACAAAAAACAGCAAAACGTTAAGTTGTACATTGATTAAATGAATAAATATTTAAATTCTTCCTTTTTACGAAAAACATGGGATATAGGCGAAATGTATATACATATACCAAGTATGTGTGCATGCATATATGTATATATTGGAAGTATTCAAACAGTTAACATGCTAACCGTCGTCATGATAACCATGATGACGACAACAAAAACCATAAGGTTCGAAAGTCAATGGATAACGAAAGTCAACAATCATGGTAATGCTGATTAGCAGCCAACATTTTGATATGCCTTTTTAAGACAAATGTACTACATTTATTTATTGATTTGTTTGTGTCGGTTTAAACAGTAGTGTAATTGAAACATTGAAAACAACAAGTATCACAACATCAACAACAACACAGAATTTACCCATATCACACCGTTCGATGGTAGGTATCGCGAAAACAACAAACCGGGAAAAAATAAATGCAAGAAATGTGAGGATAAAGAGAAACTTATGTATACGTATAATTTTCTTGAAGATTAATGAAAACAATTAGTAATCAGTATTGTTAATTGATTTTATTATTCATCCCCTGGGTTTCAGTTGGAACTCAAGGTTCCAGCTAGGCCATGTTACCAGTTTAGTCTTTTTTCCACCATTTCACTTTACTTGTCTCCATGAGAATACAAAATAATACAAACAATATCCGATACTGGTTACACAGGAGGCGTTGCTTGTGGTCAAACAGACATAGCTGGTGAGTTGGAATCTCAGTAGGAGCACTGTTACCTATTTAACTGAGAGTGCAGGTACATCCAGATGATGAGTTCCACTTAGGACAAAACGCGCGCCTACTGGGTTTCACTGCCAGCAGCGACAACCATTCAAATGATTTGGAATACGTACAAACATCACATCAGATTAAGTCATCTGGACTTACCTTCTTTGTGCATCCATCTCACCATCTATAACTTCATGTTTTAACTGACGCACTGATCTGGCTAATTCATTCAATAGTTGTGTATGCCTTAATGTTTTAGCCGATTGTTGGACTAATGACTCTGCCTTCTCTGGTAAAATTGGTATTCTTCCGCGATATTCTGATGAATGAGACTACAAGCGAAAATTGGGTTGTTAGACAGAAATGGAAACAAAACAGAAAAGATTAGTGAAAACTTACAGAATAAATCGAAAACCAAACTGAGTTCACAGAGAAAAATAAAAGCAAACTAGACACAAACTAACTGATATATATATATGTATATATTATATTATTGTTATTATTTTATTTATTTAACTCCTTTTGCGTTCCGAGTGGAACATAGGGCTTCAATGTAGAGCTTTGATGTTTCGGTAGCAGTGGTTTTTAGGGGATGGGGTTGCCAGGCCTCCCGCTCAACCTTCCTTCTTTGTCAGAGTTACAACCAGCTAAGGGAGGTAAAGGTATGCGCTGTCCGCAAATCGAACCCTGGACCACATTCATGGTTGACGAGCATTCTACCGCCGAACCACCGACGCACCATGTATATATACATATATGGGCGTGTGTAAAACTTGGACACTGTTGTAGTATGCTATTCCATATTAATTTGGTCATTGAATGTATCACAGAGTGAAATAATATTATGATTATTACCGATGGCTAACGACATTTTGAGCATAATTTACTATTCTTCATGATTATATTATCATTTGTGAGTATACACAGCCTCGAAAGCCGACTTTCTTTTGTACATCTCGTTCTTCGTTGACATTATTCGGACATGCAGTAGCACATTTTCCAAATGCCCAGGTGTATGTTGAATTATTTTTATTTCACGTATTCTCAGTTCATTCTATCAGTAAAGCCTCAGTTATCAATCGCTATCCACCCTGTTATATTACATTTTAAGACTGTCATTTGTTCCATCCTATTGTATGTGTGGTTGAATGTAACTGTATGTAGTACTGTGGTGAGAGCTGTCTACGAGCCAAATTGGTAGACAATAATTGACGTCAATGTTTACGTTCTCAAGATTTGTCGTGAGAAAATATGAACAAAGATTGATTCAAAACCGGCCACAGCAGACTTTGCGTAGGCGGATGCAGTTAATATATAGATGATGTGACACTCAAGAAACAGTCAAAAGGAGATGAAAGATTAACTTTACGTGAGAAACAACCAATGGGAAGACTGTGTTTGTTTGCTTAAATAATCTATAATACTGTACATGAAAATATATAAATATGCTTTGATTTCCTTAATAAACGATCTGTTGTCTGGCCCTTGTCTTCTGTTGTTACAGTACTATGTCTGAGCACTTTCCTAGATTTCTTATCTTCCTGTATGGTATACTAGTCTTGATTTCATTAGGTTTTTGTGCTGCTGTAGTCTAACTGATCTACTGACCTATTACTTTGACCTACGTATTTTGACCTCACTGTCATTGCAGGCTATTAGACAAACTAAATTATGAGTTTTTTAATTGGGCTGTACAGGATCTTGTAACAGAAATTATTTTGTTTCCCAAAGAGTTTTCAGATAGCTGAATACCGCTGTTATTCCTGTTTTGTTAAGAATTTAATGATTCCCTCTTGTGCTTTAAACTCCCTCCCTTGTTTTCATGTTGTCATCTTTCAATGAATGTTTGCTAATCATGCTGTCTTTATTGTTCATTTTACTTTTATTCCTCTAATTTCCTATGTGTACTTCCGGATAGATTTACCAGGGTAATTAAAACAGCTAAATAGTACAAAAGAAAATCTGCGATAGGAAGTAAAACATATAAGGGAAGCGGCTATGACACTTGGTAATAACCCTGAGTATACAATATACATGGCACATATCTCGGTGCCCAGTTATTGTACCAAGCTTGTATTTGAGTGGAAATGCATGCACTCAGGTCGACTGAACGTACCAGTCTACCCAGAAATCTGAAAAAAAAACTCCTAATCCTTCAGCGCCGGTGCTTCAGCGGTAGAACGCTCAACAACCACGCATGTGGTTGTGGGTTCTATTCCCGACTGACGCACTTCTAAGCCGCGATAAACTGGTAGTAAGGCTAGTAAAAGGGCACGTTTGAGAGTGAGACTAGCAACCTCATTCCGCAGAAATGAAAGCACTGCTACCTAAACCTTAAAGCTCCAGTTTGAAGCCATATGTTCCACTGGGAACGTAAGGGAACAAAATAGATAATAATTACGAAAAAATGCAAGAAAATGAACGTGAACTACAAGATAAATAAGCTTCAAATTTGTGAGTGATTACAAGTGATGATATGATTATGACCAATAATAATAGACTGTGTCTTAAATTGTGTCATCCAGTTAAAAGTAGTAATAATGTCTCACTATTTGTGCATGTTTGTGATGTCTCTGGTGAAAAAGTGGTTAGTAATGGAATTAGGTTGAGCTACATTTGCCTCACTGGCGGTCGTTGTCATCTGGTGGTTAAGACAGTGCATTGTAGTCGAATTAACCCCGATTCTAATCCCCCCAGTGACACACCAATATTGTGGCCTATTGGGTGACAGTGTTGTCCATCGTTGCCTCAGTGGTAGAATGTTTGCCAAACACGCATGTGATATGGGTTCAATTCTCGGCTGTTGACTCACTCCTAAACATCGGTTGGTCAAGTTAGAGAACAGCGATCCAGAAGAAGGAACGCATCAATGACCATGAAACGTTCATTCAGAGCAAGTTAGTAAACCAGATAAAGGACACCTTATTCGTAGAAAAAATAATGGAAGAAGTGTTAGAATAATAAACAGGATATCTAGTGAGTTTAGGGTTATGTTATGAAAAGATTAGTGCTAGGATTAGGCTGGGAACTGGTTAAGGTTAGTTTACACAAAGATTAGGGGTGTTTAGGGTCAGGTTAGGAAAAGATGAAAGTTGGAGTTAGTTTAAGGTTCTCTGAATTTTACATTTCAGTCTGTTGATTATGGTTGATTATGGTCACCAGCCACTGCCGCATTAATCAGCCCTGTCTGTAGCGTCATTGAAGGAGGAAAATTACTCTTTTAAAGCTAGAAATCTAACACCCACACTGTGAATATAATTTTGGCTTTCTGTAAGTGTAAGACGAATCCACCATCTTGATAACAAAAAACATATTAAGGAATTTAAGGCAAAAGGAACACAAATTTTCGCCGCCTCCCCCACACACATCTTTGTATCACCGGCCGTCAGACTCATAGGCAAACACATATATACAATATGAGAAAAATTGTCTCCTTTATGTTATTTTTTTAAAAATGCAGATCTTCAAGCGTTAATTGGTTAGTTAGTTAGTTAGTTAATTATTTCACCAATAAATAAGTGCTAGTATACAATCTATGCAGTAGGATTAATTTACACGTCGACGATGATCGTAAGGCCACAGTGATCTGGCTATGCCTCTGTTACCACCACTATTTCTTAATCCATATTCTGTCCCAGATAAGATTGTGATATTGTTGTTAGAAGTGTTCGTGATAGCAGAAGTAGTTGTTGTAGTAGTAGTGGTAGCAGTGGAAGGTTTCATATTTGTGTACAATATATATTCGCTGATCTCAGGATACTGGTCACTTGGATGCGTTGTATATGTGCGTATTACAGTAGGCACTATTATTGTCTGTAAGGGAAAGATTTATATTTTATATAAGTAATAGAAAATGAAAAGCTAAGGTAGCGTGGTGGAGGTCAGCAGAGGTAATTAACTCGTATACTAATTAATTTAAGTGATCAAGGTGTATATTTCCTTGTGCGTATAATGATTTCATTCATCCTAATGTATAATTGCGACCGACAGTTATACATCTCATCCAACAGCTGTACGACAACGTTGCATGCCAAGTAATCCACAACGAGAAACTTACGGAATCCTTCAAAGTGAGGACAGGAGTAAGACAATGATTTTCCTGATTGCAGTAGACTGGATAATGCGACAAACAGCGGGCAATGAGCAAACAGGCATAAAATGGACTCACACAAAAAACTTGGAGGATCTGGACTTCACCAATGATATATGTCTGATTTCCCACAAACTGGAAGATATGCAAGTGAAAAGCAACAAGTTGACAGAAGGAGCATCCAGAGAAGACAGGACTTCATGTGAACATAGAGAAAACAGAGGTAATGAAGATTCCTGGACAAGAACAACAACAACAGACAACGATCAGCATAAATGGGAGGAACCTGAAAGAAAAAACCTCTTTCACCTACCGACAGGGGAAGCATCGTTTCAACTACAGGCAGACGGAACTGACGAGGATATCAAAGCAAGAATCGGAAAAGCAAGACAAGCTTTCACTACTCTCAAGCCTGTGTGGAGGTCAACAGCATTCAGCATCAAAAGTAAGATCCGGATTTTCAACTCCAATGTGAAGTCAGTGCTACTATACGGATCAGAGATTTGCACTGCGCGTCATAAAGAGCATCTCAAACAAACTACACACCTTCATTAACAGTTGTCTTCGCTCAATACTCAAGATCAGATGGCCGACCAGAAAAGATCAGCAACAGAGTTGGATCTCTGGGAGCGAACCAACTCACCAGGAACCGATCGTGAAACAAATAAGCGGGAAGAAATGGAGATGGATTGGCCATACTCTGAGGAAACCATCAAGTGACATCACTAGACAAGCCATCGCTCGAGTGGAAAGCGAAAGGGAAGCGGCGAGTTGGCCGTCAGCGTGAAGGCGACTTGGAGGAGGTCATGTGAAGAGGAGATGAAAACATGTGGGCAGACTTGGAGCCAGATGAAGACTCTAGCAGAGAACCGAACGCAATAGAGACGCACGGCTGAAGCCCTATGTTCCTCTAGGAATCAAAGGAAAAAATAATAATAATGTACATTTCATCGTGGAAAGTTAGACAGCGCATAGTGGACAAATTGCTTCGCAGTAATGATTCTGTCACACGCTGAACTCAAGACCATGAGGTTACTAAGTAAACACTGTCACGATGATCTAGAGAAAAACCCATAACATGTTAATGACAGAATCACCAGTACTCAGAAATTTCTGATCTGCTCCAGCTACTGTTCGTACGAGTTGTAAAAATAACAGTTTCAGTAAGATGGGTTCTTGAATAAGACTGAATATCTCTGAAAGACCGAAAACCGATCAGCTAATTTAGAGAATATTAAATTATAAGGGTGTAATTATACATGCTAATAAGTCGTTGTATGATTGAATAAAGTCAGAGAATAGATCCTCTTTAGTAAAACTTCGATACCCCACAGTTACTCCTCTCAAATGATACAGAGACAATTGTGTCTTGTAGATGTTTTGAATTTGAAATAATAGAAAAATATAATAAAGCTCAAACCTTTTTTGCTGACATTAATCGCCTTTCATTTCAGTAGCTTGCTTGATTTCACTTGAAGCATCATGGAAAATACTTCGAATATGTTACTGTAGACTTCCGTCAACAGCTATCTTCTCTGCCTCAATACTGAATATCAAATAGCCATTGGGTATGGGTTCCAAAGTAGCAGGAGAAAATAGAGAAATGGAGATAACTAAAAATACTGTGCAGAACAATGACATGGCGAAATGCCAGTGAAGACTTATGTTCCACCTGGAACCCACAGGAGGAAAACAGAAATTAGAATAGGTGAAGGGGGCAGCTTCAAGCAAAAGCAAACTAGCACACTTATCAAGAGCAGACAAAGGATGATTCATCACTACTTCAAGTTAACTTCAGAAAGTGTAGAAATGAGAAAGTCACAGAATGTCCGCCAGTGATTACGATTTTCGAACATATCTGATAAGATCTCAAGCCATATACTGCCCGAGGATTCATGATACACAAACAGAAACCAACGCAGTAACATATATGTATTTTGCTCCATAGAACTCACCTCTTCAGCTACCTTCTTCTCGCTCTGTTCCTTTTCTACACGACGAATTCTAGAAGAGGTTTGATTAAGCAGGTTTTTAAATTCGGTATTCAATCTATCCAGTAGGGAATCAGTAATTTGTGGATTATGCTGGATCAATTCTTGATGCATTTTTAACAGTTCAGTCAGCTGATATTCTCGATCTTGTAAACTATGCAGAAAGTCCTTGAGGAAGAAGAAACAAACAGAAAAAGAGATCAATAACAACAATAATAATAATAATAGTGGCATTCTTCCAAACAGTACTTTTGATACAGCATGGAGTTCTCAGCATGTAGTATAATACTGCATGTAATACTCTCTTTGCATTACATAGTAAAGTGGGGGGGGGGTGGACAGGGGACATCTATATTGATAACAATGTAAATAAAAATGTAGATGTAAAAATAAAGCTCTAAACTAATAGAAACAGTGACACCAAAATATGATAATAAGAGAGAAATTAATAAAGAGGTAAGAGGTGAGAAAATAGACTTAGGTCAAGTTTAAAGGACATATTCAAGGTCAAAGTAACGATGAAGACCACTAAGCCAAACAGCAGAGGTAATAGCGCAACTGTTATGGTATCGAAACAAAATTTACCGAGGAAGGTTTAATGTGATGACGAATTGTTTTTGAACGCATAAAGGTGGCTTAAACTTTCTAATTGCTAGGGCTTCCACAAACTTTAGGATACGCCCCAAACACGTTTTATAGATAGGTTTAAAAGATCTGTTAACGTCAATTTTATGTCCTGTCTCTATAATATGTTTCGCAATAGAAGAGCTAGGTCTCCCGTTCCCACCATTAATAGGTTCTGAAGATTCCATTTGTTTCTGGAGCCATTTAGGAATATGCTCTGAAGCCCTTACTTGCAGAGATCGATGAGTACTCCTTATGTATGTGTGTCCACACGTACATTCAAATTGGAAAATACAGTCACATTCCACTGTATTTACCAATTTGAATGTAAAGTTTGTGGAAGCCCTAGCAATTAGAAAGTTTAAGCCACCTTTATGCGTTCAAAAACAATTCGTCATCACATTAAACCTTCCTCGGTAAATTTTGTTTTGATAACATAGCAGATGTACTATTACCTCTGCTACTTGGTTTAGTGGTCTTCATTGTTATTTTGACCTTGAATATGTTCTTTTAACTTGACCTAACTTGTCTATTTTCTCACCTATTAACTCTTTATTAATTTCACACGTATATATTCCTATGACAAGTCCGTGTGTGATCAGATTGTTCGAAATGTGTTGCGCAAATACATTACACGATTCAGACAAATTACGTCTTCTTATTGCTTTATCTAAATTCATAAAGGGAACTAATTGTTTTGAATAAGAGAGAAGCTTATTTATTGTCCCGCAATAAGTTATTAGTTTCACTAGTATTTCCAACTATACTAGTGCTTTGTTCACTACTTTACGGGCATAAATTTGGAGAATTTTAGTAAGTGCAATTTACAAGTTAAATAATTATTCCAAGTTACTTCTTTCGTAGTGGCTTGGAGTGGAAACCAGAACGAGCTACTCGTCCTATGTAGGACACATCACCTCAATATACCTAGACCATAATTGCTGTGTTACTGGAACACAACACGATAACGGATTAGTATTTGAAAATATGGGTGCCGAATACGAGTTTCAGTAAGAAAATAATCACTCATTAACGATGTAGGTACAGCCAGGTGACTAGCCTCGAATGGGATGAAACACGCAGCCTCAGTACCAATGCTAGTCATCACATGACATCAAGTTAACCTTCAAGTATTATCAAAGCTAGGAGTCAACATATCAACAGAGACCAAATATTTTCGTACACTAAAATCGGTCAGTCGTCACGAAATTCAAAATAATGATTTCAAAAGGTAATACTTATACTACTGTCATCACACTGACACATGTGATTGTCAAAAGAAAGCAAGATATTGTTTAAAATATACCGTGTGTCCGTTTATCGATAGTTTGTGGCAAATTATATGAAGGCACTAATCAAGCATCTGTTTACCAACCAGTGAATATGCAAAAGGAAATGAAGATGGGGGAATTGGTCATGCACACTGAGAAGAAATTCAGGCAACCTCGCGCAGACACACTGAACAGGAAGGCCCTTTAACTGACACCACATTGGGTAGTGAGTGACAAGATGCGTGTCAGTCCAGGGTAGACACTGAGGAGATCATGTAAGGAGGAGAGTAAAGGAAACGTAAGCCTATGGGAGTCATTCATGAAGCAAGGTGAAAGTGATAGCAGACAGCAGAGTGGAATGAAAGTGTGCTACGGCTGAAGCTCCGTGTGTTCCTCTTGGGACCCAAAGGATGAATAATGTGAGACGTAGGCAAAACACATACACATTATGAAATGTAATAGTACATGGCAGGTGATATATTACACATATAAAGGTGCATTCTTGAAAGCAAATGTTTTGTCGCAGGCACATTTAAGCTGATTGGCTATTAGAAAACAGTAAGAAAATGGAAAGCTTACCTTGTAAATAGTTGGAAATTTTCGAATAAACTAAATGGATAAATCAATAAATCAATTTAACTTAAAAAAGGTCGCTTACATTTTCCAATGTGATCACGGTATGATGGCAAACATACTACTGATTAACTGGCTGATGGATCGTTATAAGTAGTTAGGAATGAAAGAAGGATTCAAAGAATGAGCATTGCGTCAGTCACCTACCTATCTATACGAACACACGTAGACGAAGCGACAGAGAATTCAGGGAACGGCTCTTATGAGTAGAAGGGGAATGAATTCTTTAAGCGTGGTAAACAATTTTGACAATTGTCTTATCCATACGATGCTCACGTGGGTTATAAAGTAAGCAGTTAAAGGGCTCGCTTCATAGACTGAAGGTTATGAGTTTGATTAGCCGAGGAGTCATGGTATCATTCCACTTCTGAAGTGTCTCAAAGAAGGAGGATAAAACAGCTGTCCGTCTCCCTGCTGACTTTCGTTGGTCCTGTTTTCCATGCGCCAAGTCTCATATTTACTTTCGATTGGCTGATATGTTTATTGTAAAAAAGTATCCTCACTATCAATGTTTCTTCTTTAAATTCATCATTAACTGAATATATTCAGTTTCAAGTTAAATCACTTACTAACTTCAGTTATGGAACTGTTAACAGGTGTTTCCTTCTAGCTTGAGAACTGCTGAACAGTAACAACTCACGACTTTCGGACCACTAGACGAGTCCGTTGACTATTCAGTCACTGAGATGAAGTCAAATGGTTCACGAATACTACGTTGTGTCACTTCTCAATATAAAATCCCATCGCTAGCCAATATCATCGGCGACTATCTTTTCTCATGCTCGATCTGGTGAATCCCAGCCGACCACAACTTCTTTCTAAAACTCTAACTTCATCCCGTAGTCAGCAAATAATGAACATCAGGTTAATTTTCAATATATTTTTCAATTCTATTCCAACTCAGTTTGGTTATCAGTACTGTTACACGCCACTGATTTTGACGAATCAGAGAAGGCTATTACCGATTTAAACAACTGGTTGTTGAGGCAAGTGAGTTAATGTAAATTTCGTTGGACATCCTTGAAGTCCGACCTTTACAAATCAATTAAATTATTATTTACTGGCCTAACTTTCTGAGGTACGGAATACTTTTGTACTTTTGTTTGATAAAGAATCTTTCGTTTTCATCAACTTATACTAGTCTGTCCTTTATCTGTATTTGCGCAGATTGTTGGGTATGAGAAGGGACTGAAAATCCGTGTCTGGTATTCAGTCTTCAGATGAGCTACTAACTGCCTTCTCGTACTGAATCGCAGTCACGGTTTTACCAATAACATCGACAGTATACCAAAAACAGATATTTTCCGTTGCGTACCTTTCAGCAGAATAATGTTCTAAGAATGTAAATGTCATATGTGATGAGGAGATTGGTGCCGCCTTATGGGTGGGGGATGTTAGTACACATAGTCAGCATCATCTACAAAAATTCACATGGTAACAGCCTCAAGATTGAAACGTTTCACATGGGTGTGGGGAGTGGCAAACGACAACTATTTAACAAAATCTTACTTCAAGTGCTCTCCTCTCTTCATCTTCAGGTTGTGTAGACCTTGATCGTAATTCTAACAAATGATGACAGGCAGTTTGACGTTCAGATAACCAACGGCTGAATACATCACGTTCTTTAACATAGTGCTCCCATTTCGTTCTCATTTCACGTAATTGTTCAGCGTGACATTCAAGCTGATCAAATTAAAAAAATAAAACAAAATTAGTTCTCAAGTATTTAAAAAACCAGGCTTTGTTGCCGGCCTGATAAAGGATATAGTATATCATTATCTCTAATGGAGAGACGAAAAAATGCTCTAAATGCAGAATCCAGCCAGGGATCAGGCCAAATTCAGGTAAAACAAATCGTTTATTGGTCGAATTGTTACTCTACGCATCATTTATCGAACACAGCATAGAATGGCAGTTAACTCTCGACCTCAACTTCAACGACTTTGAAGAAGTCTTCGAAAGAATCGATCATGAAGTAATCTGAAACTGTGTCAGCACTATACAGTGCAATTAGCAAACCTTTGTTCAAATCGGAACCCAAAGCAATAATAATAATAAGGGACATAATATCGTATCTTTTGAGGACTAATAAATCATCTTGGATTTGAAATTCAAGAGGATGTTCACAGTGACTACTTTAGTGCCTTTCATAACTGATGCATTTAATTTTTTTTGATTTTTGATTTTCAGCTTGATTCCACACCGTATTTACAGTACAAGTATGGAATTTTCAGCATGGATACCGGTAGCCCAAATTCAGGCCGACCATAGATACCGGGTGTGCGCCGGCAGGGGATCGAACCCCGGACCATGTGCATGGTCGGCGAGAGTCCTAACCACTGTGCCACCGACGCACACTGGATGTTAACTCTGTCTTTGTTTCCTGTTACATCTTATGGTCTGCGTAGCGCTCACTGCGAAATATCTGTTATGAGTGATTTCAGTATCCTAGCAGTTGTCTCAAAAGTTCAAAATATTTGGCGAAAAGAATGATACCCAACTCGTCAATTCCCATTTGAACTCCAGTTCAGTGTGGGATGTCATACAACGGTCACCGTAGCGAATGTCCAAATCACCCATCTCCATTTCCCTCGGCATATTTGTTGTGTAATAGGCTGTTGGTTGGTTAGTTTTCAGAGTTACTTGTTAAATATCCTGTCTGACCACCTATCTGATCTTCGGTGTCGAGTCAATGAATGCAGCTTTCGATGGAAGTTTGCAGAACTTTGGAAATGCGTTTCGTGACTCACCGAGTCACTCAACCGTATAGAAACACTGATTTGACATTACTATTGAAAATCCGAATCTTACTCCCTATCCCGGGGGCAGTAGATTTTCACATTTATTTCAGAAAAATGAAGGTATATCCGATTATGATTAACTTTGAAATCCTCATCCCTGCCACCCATAGTTCAAACAGTGCTGTCTAGCCAGTCAGGTAAGTGATTGAGGAGACTTCCTTCAAATATATGCTGTCTATACTTTCATACATATAAACTGAGTAGACACACACATATACACGCTGGCCGTTTTATAGTGAGTAGTGCTAGTTGTTGTTGGTTGAGTATTTTCATCCTCTTTGTCTTCTCTTGATACACCTGAAGTCCTGTCCTCACTGTTTCGCCTGACAACTTGTCGGTTTTCATATCCACAACATGTGGACAACTGTAGACAACAATTTGACTAGGAGAAAGTAGAAATTTTAAACAGTGAAACCACAGAATATGCCAGGTAATTCCAAGAAGCCTGATACTCATATGAATCTGTGATCCATAGACACATCATAGAACAGATTTATTAGCTAATAAGGAATAAGTTATACGATAAATAAAAAGTCAAATTCCAAGCTGATAATAAAAATAAATACTGATGCAAATTAACAACTAATCACAAACAAGGTCGTCGGGAGAGACAGTTCTACGAGTTTTGGAGCTGAAGCAACGTTTTCTTGGAGGAGAACGAGGAGGAGGAGGACAATGAAAGCTTTGTAATAAGACCACCATCCAGCTCAGTGGTCACAAACGCATGAACTGTGACAACTTTATGAAAAAACAAGAAGAACCATTAAACAGGCTAATACTTTTTTTTGAAAGAAAGCAAATGTTATTGAAACACAATCACATACCTTTTTATTTTCTAAGTCAATTGCATTTTGTACATGTTTTGCTAACAGTTTTACAAGTGTCTGATCAGTACTGTTACTTTGATGATTACTATTCTCATTGGTGTTTCGATCACCTTCATGTGAGATGAAATCAATTTCTACTGAGGACATACCACATCTAGGGAGTAAAACAAAATGTCGAAAAGAAAAATTATTATTATTATTGTTAATATTACTGTTAATAAGGCTTCAGAAGCACATCTCTGTTCTTTGCTGTCATTTCCTAAAATCTTTTATTTCATCTGTTCCATGTAACTGTCGAACCCACACGAGACTGGTCACCTCCAATTCGGGTCCCACTGATTAGTGCATGAGGTCAAGTAAAAGTCTACTCTGTGTATGCTCAATCCGTCTTCATTTCCTTCTTCATATTTCTGGGTCGAGTATGAGGTTGTTGATAGACTTTTTTTATTGCTTCCTTATCCTTTCTGACCAGCTATGTGAACTTCAGCATCGAGGCAAGGAAAGCGACAGTCACTGATGAAAATCTGCAGTAACTTGCTGGAAATACTTTTGTCAACGTACGTGTCAAGTCTCTGAGGCATACACAATTACTGACTTGACAAAAGAATTAAGAGTCCGGATTTTGTTTCCTTGCGCTGAGTACTGTATATCTCTATACTGATTACCTGAAGCAACCCCATCTGACTTTGGCATCCTTGTCTGTGCTGCCGCCAGTAGTTTAAACTCTGCTGCTGTCCAGGTAAGTAAAAGAGACGATATACTTTAGATTTCCCACACTGTTGGTGTTTGCCTAAAACAATGCATCGAATTGTCAGAGAGTGGACAAGGAACTCACAGAGGTGTATACCCTACATAATTTACTCAGCTTCCTTCAATACTGATGACTAGCCTGGAAGGATGAGTGAGCAACAGTGCACTCTGGCAGCAAAATGGCCAAAAAATATACTGAGGAGACATTTAAGAGACATCACACACCATACTGGACCTCAAGTAGCACTTGAATGGGGAGCGATGATTTGAGCATGAGTTCGAGGTTGAAACTTAACAGGTCATGTCATGAGAATGAAGTGAAGGCTTTTGACACTCAATGAGCCAAATAAAAAGGACGGCAAAGAACTGAGTGCGAAGGGACTTTTTGTTCCGTTTCGAATGTAACGAATAATCAATAATCCCCTCAAACTTACTTGTAAGCCAGTGCAGATAATTCTCTTTTCATTGTAATCAACTGAGATTGCATAGCCAATGTCATAGCCAATTGATGACCAACATCTTCAAGGCTAACTGCTTTAGCTGGTGACTTATCAGCAGTGGCTAATTGTTTCAGTCGATCTATCTGATAATTGATGAAATTTTTATTTGTATATGCTGTAAATCCTTTGACATCGGTTGTTGTTGTTGTCGCTGAGATGAACTGATTCACTGATGGAATACCCGTCACTGCCGCTGCTGATGAGGATACAGCTGTTGTCACCGCTACTGCTGACGACGACTGACTAATCAGACTCAACCGTCTCCACCAGGATTGTAAATCATTTAGAATAAAGGTGGCAGTAGAATTCAGGGCATCGATGTATGATTTGAAACGATTCAATCGGTCATCCAATCGATTCTATATTGATAGAGAAAATCAATAATAATAATAATCTGTGGGGACAATATGAAGGTTAACCCTTATATTGAAGCGTAGCGCAGTTCAACCACACTATTACAAATATATATATGCTGGATTATGCATGAAAAAGTTTGTATATCATTTCTATTATTTATTACAGAGCGATTAATTACACATTACTGACTGACTACGGGATAAAATCGATAAGAGCTCTGGTGAGATTCATTAAGTTTTTGGGTGTGAGGAGAAATACTCACCGATAACGTGGCCTGATAGTGGTGCTGCGTGTGATAAACATGGACAAACTTTAGGGCCAAGTTAAACTTTAAGCACCACTAACTGCCAATCAGCGAACGACCTCGAATGCTTCGATGAGGTTCATGCTTGTGATTTCAAGGTTGTATAGCGCTTGATTCGTATGGAATGCGTGCTCTGACGAACTTGCGCTCGCAGTTCGAGGAAGATAAGGTTTTGCAGTATTGTCTGGATGCTGGCGCTTAAAGTTTAACTTTGCGAAATTTAGAATTTATGCGTAGACTATTGGATTCCATTCGAATGTCTAAATGGTCAACGTATTCGCCTCATGACCTGAAGGTCTTAGTTTAGACCCTTGGTGGAATAGTTGTCGCCTACTGCTGAAGGGTTTGAAACTAAGATGAAATGATTATCCAGTACTACCTAATGGTTCTTTAACTATGATATTTGAGTCCATGATGCAACTTAAATTAGTTAACTGTTTGGTACTTTCAAGAAATGATTTCGTTTGAAATAGTTTAGATCAAATAGTCATCCAGAAAGGATAAACAATAAGGCGCTCTGGCAGCGCAGTATACTAACGTAGAAACCTACTGTTCAACCAGCAAACATGCAGAAGTAAATGGAGATGGGTGGAGAGTGCTTCAAGCAAACAGGTGGATATCCGCGTTTGGTGTGAAGGAAATCATGGGAAGAGGATGCAGTGACAGCTCTCAGGGGATAGTCTTGGAGACAACTGAAAATGCTAACAGAAAATAGGCCACAATAAAGATATGCCCCGATGAAGCACTATGTTCCACTTGAAAGAATTTTTTTTAATGTGCCCAGTGAGATAAAATAAGTACAGGAACTGTTGACTAACCTTGATCGATTGAGCATTTGTATGAATATTCACATAACTTGTTTCTATTTCTTTAGTTCTTTCTAATACTTCTAAAGCAATTCTCTCCAGTAGGCCTTGTTCACCGCTTGCGCTGTTACTGTTATTCACCAAATACTTCCAATTATCAATTACGCCCTGGTCGATAGGAATTTGTCGATAAGGACAGGTGGCAACAGAATCACATATTCTATTGTTCATTTTTGTCGTCGTGTGATCTTTTGATATTGAATGTATCAACAGATGGACTGACTGATGTGTGTTTTCTAAAAGATTTTTCCCTTCTATATCAATTTCTCTAATCAACTGGTCAATTTGTGTTGAAGCGTCTTGATAGATGGATAAATTTCCTGTTAAGTTTGCATTGTTATTACCAGTAATATTATTGTTTCCAGCTGACATTAAACGGAAGTTTATACTACTCATCCAGCGTTCAGTAGCTTGTGCTGAATCACGAAATACTGACAAATTTTGCTGTATAACATTGACCCACTCTGCGCATTGCTAAAAATTGGAATACATAATAGAAACAAACAGCACAGCGTGAGTTAAAATTATCCAACCGACAATAAAAACAACCACAATATGCCCAAGTCACCTTCATCGTAGGAGGAAAAATCGAAAAAAGTCTTCTCTTTCACTTGCCTCAAATAAGCAGCGTCGTTTCAACTACAAGCAGCAGGCAGGGATAAGGATCTCAGCCAGTCAGGATCGCAGTGGGAAAGTAAGACAAGAATTCATTAATCTAAATGTCAGTGTGCAGATCAAGACCACTTTACACAAAGAGCGAAATCCGAATTTTTAACACTAAGATCAAGTCACGACCTCAGAGACTAGAAGCATGAGTCGATAAAAGCATTTCTAATAGGTTAGTTCACACTTTCATCAACAGCTGCCACCTTCGCAGCCTTGATACTGAAGATCACCTGGCTAGTCAGAAAGGTATCAAGGAAGGTAACAGAAGAGTAATATGGGACTCTGACAGCACGGTGAACCACCTAACAACATATCACTCAACCAACAAATATGCGGAATGAAAAGAAGGTGCATGGATTGGACATATACCGGGCAGACATTCAAGTGACATCGTATACCAGGGAAGCCTTCGAGTGAAATCCAGGCTAGAGACGACAATTTGGGTGTGAGTTCGAGGGTGGTATGGAGAAGACCATGTTAGGTAGAAGTGGAATCTTATGGCCAATCATGAAAGCACTTCGAAAGGACTACAGAGAAGATAACGAAATGGCGAAGTATTTGACTAGGAACCCAAGAGATGAGAAATAATATCAACATTATTGTCTTCACAAGGTTTTCAACCATTTTGAAAGATTTGGGAACTCCTTTTTCACAGTTACCATTTCGGTTGACAGTGATTACCAGTGAAATCCAGAATGAGTGTTTCGTCCTCTTTGAGACTCGTAATCCGCATATAATCCTGAAGAGTGACGGCTTTCCCAGTGAAACGTAAACCCTGTACCCATTATTTCAAAGGCGAAAGCGCTATCCATTAAGGCACTGCGTCACGAGGAGCGCCTCTTATGAAACAGGCATCAGATATTACGTTTATTCAGGTTATTCTGCATTTCTCGTTGACTGATTATGTTGGACCGAAAAGTGCGGTGTCTGTTGACATGGATGGTTATTCAACTAGTGTACAAGTGAATAAACCTATGAAATGCACACATTCCTGTGGATAGATTCATTCCCTTGGTACCAAGTAAGCCTATTCTTTAATACAGTGATAACGTTGACAAATACCCTTCCTTTTTGTCGGCTTCAACAGTGTATATGACAGTTTACTAAGAGCTGCCGAAGAAGAATGAAAAGCAGGATCTGTCCTAATAACAATAAGAATAATAACGGTTTTATTCCAAACATTACTTTCATTACACTGCGGAGTTTCTCGAACACATACCGGAAAGGCTACGATTTAGAGGAAGTAAATCGTGGAGCAGAGCAGTTACTAGACATCTGACTGACACTGCACTTCAGGTACAAACGACTTGAATTTTTTCAAAATTGATAAATAGACAAGCAAGCCAAGCCTTTTCAAGTCCATAGAGACCAATGCTAACAAATTTTTAAAACCCGATTTATGTATTCAAGAAAAGGTGTAGGAAGTCTTCCTCTACCCTGGTAAATCAGCCTTAAACCTATAACTGATTATATAACCTTTAATTCGATGTAAATATTGATTTCTTTTTACTCTAGCTAACTTAGTTACATCATTGATTTATTAAATAGCAGGCTTCACATGACTTATATCTAAACAAATGAGCTTTACTCACAATACGTGTATTTTTGTATTTCATTAGCTAATTAACAATTTTGTGGTGACTAGCGTAATTCTATAATTAATGTCGCTCAGTATCTTGTTGCTACACCTGTTCTCCACTTTTTATTTTGTTTGAAAAACTTTGATCATTCGAAATTATTGTTCGAGATTTATTTCTCCAATGAACTAAAGTTTGCTCGTTAAAACTGTAATGATATAACTAATACTTTCAATTACTTAGATGACTAGCAGTCGGTAAAGTACTGATGAAATAAATTGGAACTGTTTTATCCTGCTTCATGTATTTTTGTGGTTGATTTGTTCAAACGGATCCCAAGGTGTTCAGCATTTGTCACCTGTGACTCTGATCAGGAATAGAACCAGGTTCCTACAAGGTGGTCGACAGGTTCTCTTCGTAACTCGAGTATCCTAAATTCTTTATCTACCAGGGTCATGAGTGCATGCTGTTGAAACGTCTCAGATGTGGATATGATAGCTGTGTAGTACTTCCAAGGATGAAACCTGGTGCCTTAAGTTTACGTGGGGAGGCCATGGGTCAATCAGATACCTACAACTCAACAAATGAAAGTTAATCCATTACTCAGATAAGCGATTGACTACAGTATTGGCTTCCTGGGATTCTACTGAAAAGGCGTAACCAATGCTGCCCATTACTGACTGACTGACTGGTTTCAAAATAGCACTTCGCACGGAGGTGCAGCATTTCGAGTTGCCACTTTCCCTCTCCGTAGCACACAAAACAAGAGAAGAGAGTAAAGGGAAGTTCAAAAGATAGATAATAAACAGAAGTGTGAGGGAAAAAGTATAGTAATATGGAAAAACCATGGAGTTTTATGGGATGTGATAAATCACAAAGAGTGAATACATCTGCATCAGCCACTGACAACGATTTTGAGCCACTTGTTTTCACCACCCTGAGGACCCCAACCGGGCAGTCTACACCTTCCGACGTGGCTTTAACTAACTGTTGTTGGTTTCAGTGACAGATGAAGCCATGTTTCGGTTTGACCACCAATAGCTCTTTTCCAACCTGATCTTATATCAGCTAAAATTACCGGTCGAGGAAGGCCCATTAAGTCACGTGCGAGAACATTGGATGGCGGTGGCGTCATATCACGACTTAACAGATGATAGAGTTCTCAGGTTGTTGTATTCCTCCCCAATATCTGAATTGCCAATAAGCTAACAGTTTCAACTCCATGACTGACGTTGCAAACTGAAAATCCTGTTAGACTTCTTGTCATTTGTTGATCATAAGTTTGTGACTGTATTACTCATTAAATGTCTGAGGATTTTCCTCAGCTTATTTATGTCTGTAGGTCAGGCTGAATTCATTGATTGCAGTTGGTTTCAGCTAACAGTAGGGACAAATTTCATAAACCGGGAAGCCACAAGCTGAGTTTTTCAATGTTCGTCTGAAGTTGGGAATGCACGTCGCAGAAGGCCTGTCAGTGTTACTGACAAAACCAGTGGCTCTCTATCTGCACCAAACTGTAGTCTTCTGAATTGTTGACCAGGCTACCTTCTCCTACGACGTTTTTGCACCAGCTCCACGCGAACTGTAGTAGACACCCTTCACCCAACCTCTCAGCAGCGTCCGCAGAACAACCGTCTTCTGAATAGAGTCTTGGAAGACCACCAGCACAGCATTGGCTTCGAGATACTCCAAGAAGCTTCGGATGTCCCCCTCTTTAAAAGCTGCAGGCCATGGCATCTTCATTTAGTGGATGGCAGCAACACCAAATGTAATTGGAGAATACTGCAATATTTGGTTGTAGAATTGATAATGTTACCATTTGGACGCTCTTTGACAATTTCCACTACAGAATGAACATTGTTCACAGTGAAACAATGAATAAGTGCGTCGGTGGCACAGTGGTTAGGACTCTTGCCGACCATGCACATGGTCCGGGGTTCGATCCCCTGCCGGCGCACACCCGATATCTATGGTCGGCCTGAATTTGGGCTACCGATATCATGTATATCCACGAGGAGAAAACCTTTAGTTCCCAGCTAAATGCTCATGTCTCCTCAGAAAAGTTAAATACAAATTAATATCGAGTATGGTTATGTGGTAAGCAATATCTATACCTATTTTTGTATAATGAACACTTACTTGAACTTGTTCTTTCAATTTAGCAAATCTTTCGGTTAACTGATTAAATTTACTCGTTTGACCATTGAACGTTGACGTATTGGGTAAAGTGTCACAGAAATGTTCATACTTTGGTGTGTATTCATTAAGCTCTTTGTGTAATGCCTGTGAAAAACAATTTGTAAAAAGAAATAATAAGGCGGAACAATGATAACATACACACACTCTCACACAGATGGGGTTTTAACATTTAAAAAATATTTGCTATGTGGAAGGAAATACAGTAAGAGAGTCACTGTCTTACCATCGCCTTCAAATGTCTGTTATTATTTCAAAAAGTCTACTGTGATGACAGGGCTCATAGACTGGTGACAGTGTGACAAGACTTGACTGAAAGAATTCAGTCATTCATTAGGCGAAATGTGCAATTCCAGGCAACATTTCATCAAAGTTTCCACTGGAAATCGAAATTATTCAGGTCACTCAATATGTGATCTCATCTTGATACTACAAATGATAATCAAGAAGGCGAGAATAAATGCATGACATTATATACTACTGACTGGCTGATATGAGTAGTTAGATGTTATTCACATCAAGCAGTTGCAAAAGAATCAGCGAAGACTGGAGTTCAGATGAATACAGAGATAACAGAGAAGATGAAGGTATCCATCGATCAAAAACAGCAAGCATCAATTGCCGTCAACGGTAGTAGTCTAAGGGAAGTCACCTCTTTTACTTACCTGGGCAGCATCGTTTCATCTACAGATGTAGATATCAAGTCTTGAATTCGAAGAACTTCATCACTTTGATATAACTTTGGAAATATTCTACACTCAGTCAATATAAAGAACAAGATTCGTATTTCCAACACTAATGTTAAATCAGTCAGTACTTCTATACGGTTCTAGAACTTAGTGTTTAACAAAAAGCACTTCTGACAGCCCACTGCAGACCTTCATCAATATCTGCCATCCCCGTGCCGATACTGAAGACCGGAAGGAACTCTAGAAACGAACCAATCAAGAGCCTATCGTCCAAATAATAAGCAGAAGACAATGGAGATGGATGGGTTGGACATACGCTGAGGAGACATTCAGCTGGTATCACATACCAGACAGGCCGTCGAGTGGAACTTGAATGAGAAACGACGAATTAGGTATGGGACTGAGTGTAACATACAGGATGTTGCGTTAGCGTAAAATGAATGTTTATAAACAATTGTAGAGTTAGTTTGAAAAGATCTCAAATAACAGAGGGAAATGGATATGTGATGCCCTTTGTTTCATTAGGAATCAAAGGGAATAATAATATTATTAAAATGCAATTATTTGTTTACTCTTACCTTGACTTGTTGAACATATACATTCCATTGATTATCACTCAGTTTAATAGAGCCAAGGTTTGACAAAGCTTGAAATTGTTCTTCGTTGCCTTCAGTTGGATGTAGCAATTTTCCCGACTGAAGAATTGTCAACCTCTTCTCTGCTTTATCAGTCCATCCGCGTAAGTCATTGTACAATTCGGTTAGATTTTTCTGTTCATTCACCAAGTGACTTAGTTTCTCTTGGTTCTTGTTGGTGAAATGAGTTTTTAGCAAGAAAAAAAAGAGAACAGGAGTAAAATAAATTTTGGAATATCCTCATAATTTATGCAGAATAGGTGTAATAGTAGCTGTTATATTCCTTTCTTATCTGTTCCTTTTTTACTGTTGCATCTGTACTTATAACTCGTAGACAGGATGGATCAACAAGTCGATCTGTCTAATGGACAGGACAGTGTCTAAATTATCATCGTTCCTATCCATTCCAGTAGTAAAAAGGCGTTAGTTAAAACCTGCTTGTTCACGCTTATTCAACACATATGAAGAAATACACTCTTATTTCATAATAGCTATCCTCGTAAATTCATTAAGCAGTACAGAAGTGTCAAACAAAAGGCTCTATCAACCCATTCATGGATATTTATATAATTCATATGAACTGTGATCAAGATTTGACCGGATAGTTGCAATATAATTGAGCCCTGAGTGAAAAGTAGACATTTATAAAATCTCAGCGAAATTGAAATGATTAATTCCAACGTTTCGTTCGGCAATCTGGTCCGAACTTCTTCAGGGGAATTAATCGAAATTAACATAATAGAGGTTTATATATAAAAGGAACAACTCTTGTTTTTAAACTTTGTCCAATCATGAGTCATGCAACAGGCATCAACATGTATAATAAATAAATAAATAAAATAATATATTTATATATAAAAGTACATCTCTTGTTTTAAATTGTTTGTCCTGTCATGTGAATCAAGAAACAGCTATCAATAGGTATAATAAACAAAACAAAACAAAAATTTTTATATGAACTGTGATCAAAATTTGACCTCAGACTTTCAAAATTAGTCTACTTTTGTTAAAATATATGTGTATATGCAGTATCAATGGTGTGTGTGTATGTGTGTGGGTGAACAGTCATAAAACATTTGTTATTCTCATAGGAGCTGTGATCAAGATTTGACCGGATGGTTACAAAATAATTGAGATTTTTTACAAATATAATATAATTTTATAAATTTGTTAGTCTCTCCATAAGAAGACGTAGACAATCGAGAATTTGATCAAGTGTGACTAGTTGTTACATATCCAATTTATTTATTAGTCAGGATTTGCCATGCATCAGCTAAGATCACACCTTCACGTCTGTTCAAACTGTTGGGATTCACCCATATATGTACGGCTTCTGCAGTCGGTCTTTCTTTATATGAACCAAAACCTTTCTGTAAAACCTTAGTCTTATCAAAGTCGATTTTGTGTCCCGTTTCTGTCGAATGCAGTGCAATCACTGAGTTGTTTTCTAGCTTCTTCAAGTCTGCAGAGGTCTTTGGAACCACCTTTAGACATTGTTTATGCTCTTTCACTCTTATATTTACCTGTCTGGAAGTTTCTCCTACATATACGGCGTTACAATCCCCACAATTGATCTGGTATACGCACTTCTGCTGGTTTTCTTGTTCTATTTTATCCTTAACCTTCACCAGTAATGAGCGTAAGGTATTTGATGTAACGCCGTAGGAGAAACTTCCAGACAGGTAAATATAAGAGTGAAAAAGCATAAACAATGTCGTCCTGTAAATCCTGACATCATCCGAAGGATAGTGTCACATCCTCTTGTGTTCACCAATATTCATGTATATGTGGTCATATAAAAACATAGAAGCAAGCAAAATTACATTGTAGCGAAGAGAGATAGAGGTCAAAGCTAAAGATCACCAAACCAAATGAAAGAAGGAGTAAGGCATTTAATTTTCTATTGACTATTCCTGTAATATTACCACCTTTAAAATATTGTTGAATGAAGGAAGATAAGCTTTTTTCCCTCTGTGATTTGATTGACATTTCAGACTTAACATCTTAAGTACCTGTTAATAAATTTCTGGGGTTAACTGTTGTCTTTTTAACGTCTTTTCGACACTCATAAGTTCTTCCTGTAATTTCTCCGTAGAGCATGTTCCCTTGGCTCTGCAAAACAGAGTAGTGACCAACGCCTGTTTATAGTTAATTGGACAAAACTGTTGAAATGTAAATATGGTCCATTCCATGTAGACTTTCTATGAATTGATCTCTGAAGACTACCATTCTCCATGAGTTGCATGACGATTTCGAGAAAATGAAACTTCTCATTACTTTCATGTGTATCACTGGATATTCCAAGTAGACAGGACGTATGACTCACTGTTGCTACGAATATGTCGTCGACATATTGACAGTAAGTTGTCTCATTGACTTTACACTCTGAAGGTTAGACACGAAGATTTTTGTTAATAGAGGGTTAATGGGTTGCCCATAGCCACACTGTTTATTTGAGGGTATAAAGTGTTGTCTAACTGGAATTGCACACTCACGGTAGACACTGGTAATAGTCGTTTAAATTCCAGTACTGAGAGGGAGAAAATTATTTTCAAGAGGATGAAACAGCTGTCAGTTCCCTGGTTTTCAATGGTTCTCTAACTGATATCAATAAATGTTCTAACTTGAAAAAAAAACTCAAATCCTTACAAATCGACTCTTGAAAATTAATCTAATGCTGGCTAGTGACTTGCTACAGGACGGAGTTTTCTGGAGTTCTAGTGAGAATTATTGACCGGTGAGATCCATCTAGTCGTGAGTGGGGATGGAGTTCCCACCGATGACATTGGTTGGTGTTCGTGCTGAAAATCACGAATTGGTAGAAGTTAGAATTCATTAATTTATAATATTTTATAAATAATGTAGATTTATCATAAATATATATAATTTTACATATTTATTAATATAGGCCATTGAGTCGGCTTTCAGTAGCTGAATGGTCTACGAGCTTGCCTTGTAATTGTAGGCTGCTGAGTTAGAAACTCAGTGGGTGCGTACTTCCAATGATTCCAAAAACTAGGATGACAGTTTTCTAGTACTCCCTGGTCTTCATGGTATACGGATCCGTCGTCTAGCTCGAGAAAATTATTATTTATTTTCAGATTTGATCACGGATTGATACCAGTTAGAGAACCATTGAAAACCAGCATGGAATACTGGACATCTGTTTCGTCCTACATTGGGACTCATCTGCAGTATGCACCCACTGAGTTTCGAACCCAGGACCTTTCAGTTACTAGGAGAACTTGTAGATCATTCGGCCACTAGCACCATATCCAGTGGCCAGTACATGAATTCCAACTTCTGCCAATTCGTAATAAATATAGTGCAACCGCTAGCCAGTGCCATAGGCGAGTAACTTGGTGTACCCGAAGAAGACATAGAAAATCAGGAATTTAGGTTAAACATGATTAATTAGTGATGTAATTCTCAAATATGTGTACTTTTCACTTGGAGTTCAATTATTCTGGAACTATTCGGTCAAATCTTGATCATAGTTCACATTAGCCTACTCATTTGGTGCAGAATTATGTGTTTATTTGTGCATTCACAATCTCGTTTTAGTTATAAATGTACGCCAACTCTTCTTCTGCATAACTCATACACTTTTCTACCTACTCCAGTGTGTATTGACCCTCATTATTGTTGGCTGAAGAAGTCAAGGGGGAATCGGCATCACTCGTTAGTAAATACCTGTCAACATCAACAAGGAATCATAAAACATTGTGATAAGTGTGTGTATAAAATTACAACCAAATATGGACTTACCTCAGTTATTTTCTGACTAATTTCACTAAACTCTTTTCTAAATTCATTCAACTGTCGTCTGGCTTTTGAACCAACAGTCTCAGTATTATTATAATTATCAAATCCATGTTGAATACCTGATGGTTGATTGAAATTTACCATTGGTACTGGGGAACTGACATTAGCAGTGTCTACAGCTTCGAAATGACCATTATGCAGTATGAACATTTGATTCATTGTTAGTGCAGCAGTTGAAGATGCCCGACAGATTCTATCAGCCCTGTCGCTTAGCTCTAACAGCTTCGGTTGAGATGAACGTAATTTCTCACGCATAGACTAGAAATACCATTTTTTTTAAAAAAAAGACAAATGTAATTATTTCACAGTGTGTTTGCTTATTTTGTGATGAAGAACATTTTGATTAGAAGAGTAAAAACTATGAAAGAAAGTTGGGCAACTATTTGTGAAGAATATACACACTCAAGGTTCAACTAAACATGACCTTGAGCAGCCAATGAAAATCATTGACCTTTCAGAATGAATTCATGCCTAGAATCTGGGTGTATGTGACATTGACAACACCCTTGTGAGAAAATGGAACATATTTTTGCAGCATATAAGAGACCTGTATACTCCGTGAATTTGTTTTATTATGCATACATTGTTGTAATTTAACTTTCCTACACGGTTTCTAATTAAACGATATCTATTGATTATTCAAGGTTATTTCATTTAACCATTAGTGTGGTATCTATACTTAATACTTGCTGGAAAATATATGGATGGAATGGTACACACATATGTTTCGATCAACATTTTTTTCATTCCTTTGCGGTCCGAGTGGATCATAGGGCTACAAGCCTTTTTCGGAAGTTTCAGTAGTTTCAGTGTGTTCTTGTTTCTCATGCTTGATAGGGAGTTGTCATCCTCATACCCAGTATTCCCTTTCCTCCAAGCCTACTACCGGCTATACGAGATTTGTTAGTGCATCAAAGGCTTGGTTGAACAGGAACCATAAAGGTGTTTGGCGAGCATTCTGTCAGTGAACCACATATGGACAACCTTAAACGAGGGTATAACCTGCATTTATATGGACAGACGTAAGTGTTACAAAAAAAAGGAGTGGATACAAATTGCATACATCCAATGAACTGAAACGACAAAGAGTATTAAATCATTGAGGAACATGTTTCTACAATATTAGAAAGGGATTAATTTATATTGGGGTTAGATTTAAATACAATGTGAGTGTCTGAGTGAGAAGCTGTCCCCACACTCCAATTAATGAATTCCGTTGATCAGGACATTTTTATTTAAACTTAAGAAAATTCATCTCAACTCCAGTAAGTTCATATCTTCACTAATGAGGCTAAATTGAGGACTGACAGAGGTTTGAGTGTATAAACTATTAGGACTCAACCTCTCTCGTAAACTGAAGGTACTGGATACTGTCCCAGAATGGACCATGAATTCACACAAATGACTAAACTCAAAATAGGCCAAGATGATTACCTATTTCTTCATGACTTTTGATAGATATAGGTATGTGGCGAATTGTACTATAAAGGTTTTCAGTTCCTCACAAACCAAACATTCTAATGTTTGTTGTTTCTTATAGTTATACAATACCTTTCATATTTTTTCAGACATCTATAGAACAAAATAATTGAGCAAAGAATATCCTTTTCGATAAATTCCTCTTCTGGCTCTATTGACACTACTGCTCACTGAGTTGAATGCAACTTTTTACTGAATGATGTGCACGGAATATTAATTTTAGAGTTTTCAACTGTTCTACTCATATTCATTATAATTTTTTTTTGATTACAGCTTGATTCCACACAGTACTTTTGGTAGAAGTATGGAATTTTCAGCATGGATATCGGTAGCCCAAATTTTGCAGGCCGACCATAGATATCGGGTGTGCGTCGGCAGGGGATCGAACCCCGGACCATGTGCATGGTCGGTGAGAGTCCTAACCACTGTGCCACCGACGCACATTAATGTCACCACATTAAACCTTCCTTGGTAAATTTTGTTTTGATAACATAGCAGATGTACTATTACCTCTGTTATTTGGTTTAGTGGTCTTCATTGTTACTTTGACCTTGAATATGTCCTTTTAACTTGACCTAAGTCTATTTTCTCACCTCTTACCTCTTTATTAATTTCATATATATTCCTATGACAAGTCCGTGTGTGATCAGATTGTTCGAAATGTGTTGCGCAAATACATTATGACACGATTCAGACAAATTACGTCTTCTTATTGCTTTACCTAAATTCATAAAGGGAACTAATTGTTTTAAAAAGGTTTTTGTATTTCCCAATGAATGAAAAACAAAACGATATTGTTTTTACTGACGTTTCGCTATTTAATGCTAATAGCTTTATCAAACTAGTATTATTAAACCGGAATTTACACAATCTCAGCATATATATAACAAAGAGTTAAGGGGTGAGAAAATAGACTTAGGTCCAATTGAACTGAAAAAACTTAGAAAATCATCAGCCATAGGTCTACATGCTATAGAATCAGGTCACAAAATTGATTTTGACAATATTGAAATAATCCAGAAAAACTTCAGAAATCATAAAGAACGTCTAATATCAGAAACACTTCATATCAAGTGGAATCCAAATTGCCTGAATAGGAATGATGGACTAAAACAGAATCTGACCTGGTTACAACACCTCCCTCCCCCATGAAGTGACAAAATCAACACGAATGTGATAAGCAAGTTCACTATGTAAACACACACTGCCTTTATAATTTTAAACACTGATCAAATCCAACAATCTACACTTGATTTTGTTATCTTTACAAATGACCAACTTGACAACGGAAAATGACCCCAGACTAACGAACGATGATCAAGTTAGTAAACTTTATTTTGATATCATAACAGATGTACTATTGTAACAACAGAAGATAAGGGCCAGGCAACAGATCGTTTATTAAGGAAATCAACGCATATTTATATATTTTCATGTACATTACTATGGATATTTAAGCAAACAAACACAGTCTTCCGATTAGTTGTTTCTCACGTAAAGTTAATCTTTCATCTATTTGTGACTGTTTCTTGAATGTCAAATCATCTATATGTTAACTGCATCCGCCTACGCAAAGTCTGCTGTGGTCGGTTTTGAATCAATCTTTGTTCATATATTTTGATATCATAATAGACGTGCTATTTATTACCTTTGCTATTTGGTTTAGTGATCTTCATTGCTATTTTTTACTTTCAATATGTCCTTTTAACTTGACCTAATTGTCTATTTTCTCACCCCCTAACTGTTTGTTATGTATATGCTGAGTGGATTTTGTAAATTCCGGTTTAATAATACTTTGATAAAGCTATTAGCATTAAATAAGGAAACGTCAGTAAAAACAATATCGTTTTGTTTTTCATTCATTGGGAAATACAAAAACCTTTATTATAATGAATATCATATACCCAATGCCCAAATTTTTTCAAACTGTTAAAAGTGAACTTGGTTTGGACATATATGTTCTACTCATATTTTTCCTAATTCACATGTTCAACCTGAGCTGAACTCAACAGACCAATTATTCATCTTTATATTTCACCAATATGAAGTACATCTGTTGAAAAGCTTAGGTACAAGATTCTGTATTTCAAAACTCAATATATATCATTATGTGGATTTGAGGGTAACTCCTCAGTAGTGTGCAAATGGTATTCGTGTATTGAACTATTGTAAATGAATAACAGTAAACCAGCCGAATTCCCAACTAGTTGATTAGATGAAATCCCGAGTAAATTTGTTACTCGGTTACCTCATAGTTACCTTCTAGTGACTGATTAATTAAAATGGTAAAAACTGCCAGTTAAGTTTAAAATTTCATTCAGAATTTTCCTTTGTTTCATTTTGTATAAATTCATTTGAAAGACAAAAAAACAAAAACAACTTACAGTTAATGTGCTCAAATCAGCCTCTGGCAGACCTGAGATCTGATCGCCTTTACTGATACCTTTGAGTTCAGTATTTAGACTGTCAAGGAAATGCTTAATATTGCCGCATAGCACTTGAAACTCTCTGTTCTCCATGAAAACTAACTGTAGTTTGGATAAAACATCCTGAAAGAAAAATAATGCCTATCATCATTATTATTGCTTTTATTGTTATTATTATTAATATTTCAAACTCGATCGTGAAATGAAATCATTTAGAGAACCAATCACCGGAAAAAACCAGCGGGGTGTACTGGAAAGCTACTTCGTCCTAATTCGCGACTCTTCAGCACTTGTCCCTTCATTATCCGTTTGGGGGTTAAATCCACGACCGTTAGGTTACTTGGCGAAGCTGTTTACCGTCTAGCTACCTGGAGGGAAACCAGTCGCCTATGGAATATAACTTCTGCCAATTCGTGATATACAGTGTCACCGCCAGCCAATGCCATTGGAGAGTATTTGTGCGCAGTGCTGAAAAGTCACATAAAACGAGGTCTTCTTGAGGTGAGTATTTTTATTTTGTATGCGGTGATCAATGAAGGCTGAACAGACATTTTCTGTACGCTTATTTCCCTCCATTTTCATATAATTATATCACAAAGAGGGTTTTCGGTGCGATGTACTGCTTCTTTTGGTATCTTTAGTGTGACTTTTATGTTACATTCTACTGATTCGTTTGTATGAATAGCTGGATATCATTCACACATAACGAACAGTGCTTGTTGGCCTGATCATGTAAGTGATTTAAACATCGGATGGCCAATTTTCTTGTTTGGAACCGACCTCATCACTGTGTGTACCCGGTTTAACTCAACCCAATCAGTCTAAACCACACCTGAATTGCACCTAGTTACTAGTGATGCATAGAATCTAATTCGCCATTTTATAGTTTAAACAGTTTGAGATGAAATTTCACTACAGGCTCATAGACTACTTTTTGTTTTTGTTGTGTGCTCTAAACTGGACAGTTGGTTTAATCGCGAAACTTTCACCATCCTTATAGACAAAATCTTCAATGCTACCTTTGAAGTGAAGTGAGTTAACAGGATTCTCTCCGTGAATGTAAAGAGAACCTCTTATGAAGACAATGGCCTTGGTTGGATGCTTCCGGAGTTTTCACACCTCGTTATTCGTTTGCATTGCTACTGATCGTTTTTTTTTAAATTTAATATTTGACCTGATGAAACAACCAGTCGCATTTACTGTCACCGGGAGAGATAGTTATCATATTAATGGACGGAATTCTACTAGCTCAGTTCACACTGAAGTCGGCACTTAACATGCTGTCCACAAAGGCAATGGAAGCTCCTCAATTAAACCAACCATTCTGACCAAAGAACACAACTACACTGATATACTCCAACTGAGGTGCAAATCGTGCTCACCATGGCAGACAGAAAGAAATGTTCGTGACTATTTGCTCGTCAAATAACACTAAAGGAAGGTATTGTGAATCGACGGTTGTTCGAATAAAAGCCTAGTGAAAAGTCAAAAACTACAACACTCCCACTCGCACGGGGATCCGCACCCTCCCTTAAGGCGTCACCTTGTGTACAGTGGATGCCGATTCTTGTTTGTTTAGTCTGTTAGTTCCTGACGACCTGCTTAAAACTTGGGCTACCGAAAGCCTCTTTCAATACACTGCATATGATTATTATTGTTTCCTTTAATTCCTAGAGGAACATAGGGCTTCAGCCGTGCGTCTCCATTGCGTTCGGTTCTCTGCTAGAGTCTTCACCTGCCTCCAAGTCTGCCCACACGTTTCCATCTCCTCTTCACATGGCCTCCTCCAAGTCACCTTCACGCTGACGACAAACTCGCCGCTTCCCTTTCGGGTTCCACTGGAGCAATGGCTTGTCTAGTGATGTCACTTGATGGTTTCGTCGCTCAGAGTATGGCTAATCCATCTCCATTTCTTCCTGCTTATTTGTTTCACAATCGCTTCCTGCTGTGTTGGTTCGCTCATTGCCAGAGATCTCTGTTACTGATCTTTTCTGGCCGGCCATCTGATCTTGAGCATTGAGCGAAGAAAACCGTTAATGAAGGTCTGCAGCTTGTTTGAGATGCTCTTTATGACGCGCAGTGCAAGTCTCTGAGTGAGTATAGTGAGTAGCACTGACTTCACATTGGAGTTGAAAATCGGAATCTTAATTTTGATGCTGAGTGCTGTTGACCTCCACACAGACTTGAGAGTAGTGAAAGCTTGTCTTGCTTTCCCGATTCTTGCTTTGATATCCTCGTCAGTTCCATCCACCTGTAGTTGAAACGATGCTTCCCATGTCGGTAGGTAAAGGGGGTTGTTTCTTTCAGGTCCCTCCCATTCATGCTGATCGTTGTCTGTTGTTGTTGTTCTTGTCCAGGAACCTTCATTACCTCTGTTTTCTCTATGTTCACCTGAAGTCCTATCTTTGATGCTTCTTCTGCCAACTTGTTGCTTTTCGCTTGCATATCTTCCACTTTGTGGGAACACTGCATATAATTTCTTTTATCCAGTTTTTTTAATCTGTTAGTATATGACCTCTTATAGTGTTATTTACTCTGGCGAGTATTTAAAATATTTACATCCTACTGATTCTCGAATTTCTACTGAACATGCGAATAAGCATTATCCTCGATAGCGGCTTATTCCCATATATGAGATGACCATTCCTTAATGGTGTTCTTGGTTGATAAAATGTACTCCTTAAGTTTTCATAATTGGCATTCAACAGAATGTCACGTGTTTCTCGAAGGAGAAAAAGAAGAGTTATCATCATAATTGTGGTCGTGTGACACAGTTCTGTCTGACCTGAAGCACAAAACAATCCAACTGCCAGTCAAATCTTTTATTTGAAGATCCTGGACGAATAGAAAATATCATGCAATAAACTCCACTGAAAATTCTGTACATTATAAAAGCGCTGTTCTCAGAATAAAGCTGTCATTATTATACTGAAGTGAAATGCTCGATCTCCGCTGATACGTCGGCGGCCCTTAATAGGCAAGCTTCGGCAATGCATGAAGATTAACATGATTTAAACTATTTGAAGCATCGAAGTGTGTCAGCACTAAGTGCCACTGACATATCAACAAAGACTGTACATTAATCAAAAGGAAATACAAAATTAACTCAAACACTAGGAGAAGAAAATTGAGCTAAGAATATCCTACTCGACAGTTTTCTTTTCTGGCTCTACAATTATACATATGTTTACATACCTAGAATATTCTACAACAGTAGTCAATAACAATGCTGATGTTTTTAAATACTATCGACTTGTCAAGTAAGATCAATGGAATTACAGTTCACGAAAGACCCATAAAATGTAGTAAGCATAAAAGTGTAATAGCAAATAGAATATAAAATAAAATTAAGGGAATTTCCACAACAAACTGAGGATTATTAAAACCTTGATGGTCAAGGTAAAGACAGTGTATGAACCAACTTCTTCTTTAGGGTTTATAAGTTAGGTTTCTTAATGCAGATCCCAACAGCCTCAGAAATATATAGTAGACGAACTCTTAAGGTCTATTAAAAATGCCCAGTTAGCTAATTTAAGGCTGAACTTGTCTCCTTTGTACACAGAATTGCGTTTTTTTGAAGCGAATCGCAGTGACCTCTGACATTTGAAGTATTTAGTGATTAGAAGCCTTCAGTAATTTTTTTAGTTACCCGACAGATGATAGAAAAGCACTCTTCTATGCTAGCATTATGACCTGTATGGAAAGAAGGTGATGTAATCTTATCGAACTGCTGACGGTTTCTACTACTACTACTACTACTACGACTACTACTACTACTACTGTGGTGAGAGCTGGCTGCTAGCCAAAGTTGGTAGACAGCAATTGACGTCAGTGTTGATGTCCCCAATATTGGTGGTGAGAAAATGAGAACAAAGGCTTTGCGCAGGCGGATACAGTTAGCACATGGATGATCTGACACAGCCACAAAGAGATGCAAGGTTAACTTTCTGTGAGAAACAACCAATCAAAAGACTGTATTTTCTACTAAAAATAATCTAAAAAAATCTATAAATATGTGTTGATTTTCCTTAGTAAACGATCTGTCCCTTGTCTTCTGTTGTTACACTACTACTGTGACTACGCCTTTATTTAGCCACAATAATGAAGAAGGAGTTACCGCAAGACGATACTCTTTGTTCACAGTCATCTCAGCCTTTTACGATGTTTTCTTTTTTATTTCTGTTTAAAACTACCACACTCACCTCGCAACTTTTAATCAGACTGTGAATTTGAACCAGTAGTTGATTTAAAGAATTTTTAGCACTTGAATCACCAGTTTTCTTCTGAATTATTTCACACAAGCTGTTCAGTTGAGTTAACTCTGACTTACGAGACATTAGTTCACTTTGGAATACCTGTGAAAAGCAACAGAAGGAAAAAGAATGATGATGATTATTTCTCCTTTTTCATGAATCTGTAATTCGATGAATGAAACATTTCCTTATTCTCTAATCTGTCTAATTCACCAAAATGTTGACATGGGGATCAATATCCAGCCCGAAAATGCACCAGTTAAAGTAAGTCTGTGATAGCCTTCCTCATATTTAATTTATTTTTTAACATTTTAATTTTATTTAACATTCTCATAATGTCGTCACTCTTGTAGTTTAGTTTGATGAAAATAGGCTTCTTACTGACTGTAGCTGATTGTATCATCAAACTCGACTACAAAAGCGACGACTATATGAGAATGTTAAGTAAAAGATTAAGCGCAGCCCTGTCTAGGACGTATCCTGCAGCATTATCAGTCTCTCTACCCCAAACAACCTCTTCACTGGTGCAGTCAAAGATTGACAAGTAACCTCACATGTTACCTCCAACTGTGTATGCCAATTCACATGTGTCTGCGGGAGCAGTTACATTGGAAGAACAGAGAGGAGGGCCTACGTCAGATTCTGCGAACATGTACCAAGGAGCCTCCGCTTAAAGGGACCGAATTGCTTAAGCTCTTCAATCACCAAACACCTGAATGACACAGGACACCGAGCAGATGTGCTGGAATCATTCAAAATAATTAACAGACAAAGTACTTCAAGTCTTCTCAGGTTTGCTGAAGCTATAGCAATGAAACGATTAAAGCCTGACTTATGCGTCCAAAAAGAATCCGTTGTTGGACTTCAGTTACCCTGGTAACTCACTTCTTAGTAAATCTTTGTTTTCTAATTTTGTTAACTTTTCTTTTCACTACCCCCATTTATTTTTTGCTTGACCCTCTTAAGAGAAAATTTTTCTTGATCTTCTGAGTTCTGCTCACTGTATCATATCATCAACTTCTCGTTTGACCTCATGTGCACCGAAAATTTTCCACAGTGCACAAACTTTGCACGCATATTCTAATAGTTGTAAGGACAGACAGCCAGTCGATTTCGTCTTTTCACTACCTTTCTGTTTTCTTTGCCCCATTTCCCTACCTCTCAGCTGTAATCTTGACCAGTAACTGTTTTAACCTACATTTATAAAACTGATGTAAGAATAGAACTCGGGCACTGCGTGGTAGAATATAGTTCCAGGAAGCCTTGGACTTAGGTTTTGGGCTTGTAGGCACCCGTCAGAATGGCGTATCTGCGATCTAGAAGGAATCCATGTCCATCTTGAAATTCAAACCCATATCACCCAGCACTGCAGTCAGAAAAGCTACCACTGAGCTATTCAAGCTCGCAACTGACCTCCTGTAGGACTGTTGAGCCACCTAGCATGGTGGCCACATCGCAAACCTGACTGATACGATTAAGTTTGCACCAAACTAAAGACTAGATGCACAATACTAGTTATCCGGTATATGCATTGCGTCATTTTGACTGCATGTGTTTGATGCTGACTCGATGAATAAAGATTCAGAGATTAACTCCTCCGTCCGCCTAACTGCGTTAATAGGAAAAGTTAAAAAGACGATCGCAGGGAAGAAAATTTTCTTTTCGACAAAGTCATCATCAAGTAGGCAGTACATTCGTGTATATATGGTACATAGGTGATTAAGTTCTAGGACTATTTCCGGTCGAGGGTCAAATTAATAATATAATAATTACAAAAGAAACACGAGGATCAAGTAAAACACATAGTGGGATAATAATTACTGAGGAAATCGATTTTTTGTGTAATTGGGGATTAAAAACTCGCTACTAACAAAGGAAACAAGATGTTTTGGTAGAAATTCGTAATAAGAAAATTACTATTATGAGAATTCACTGTTTAGGATGGCCATGTTGAAGACAATGGTTGGATGTGTTTTCTTTGACTATATAGTGTGGACTTTTTTCATACCTGGCGAGTATTTAATTCCATATTAGTTTGTTTATTAAATATATCATACAGTGAGTGAGACAGTATTATTTACTGGATGACAATGTTTCGAACAAAATTTATTTTTCACAATCATATCAATTGTAATCACACGACTTTGACACTTGAGTGTTATGGTTTCCTTTGTTCTCTCCTATTTGTCGTGGGGGTAGTAGAATTTTACAGATATCTGGGATAGGTGATGAATCATTCCTATTACATGTATTTGCAGTTGATTCGATAAACAAAGCTTCCGTTATCAATCTCTCCCTATACTCTGTGACATTAGATTTTAAAACTGTCATCCTATCCCATCCTATTGTACGGTTGTGTGCATGTAGTTGCATGTAGTGAGTGATATAGCTGAACTATTTATTCTCCAGATTTCTTATCTTATAAATCTTGATTAGTTGACCCTAATAAGATAAGAAATCTAGAGAATAGTTCAGCTATAGCACTACATGCTGTTACACACAACCATACAATAGGATGGATGGGATAGGATGACAGTTTTAAAATCTAATGTCACAGAGTATAGGGAGAGATTGATAACGGAAGCTTTGTTTATCGAATCAACTACAAATACATGTAATAGGAATGATTCATCACCTGTCCCGGATATCTGGAAAATTCTACTACCCCCACGACAAATAGGAGAGAACAAAGGAAACCATAACACTCAAGTGTCAAAGTCGTGTGATTACAATTGATATGATTGTGAAAAATAAATTTTGTTCGAAACATTGTCATCCAGTAAATAATACTGTTCACTCACTGTTGATATATTTAATAAACAAACTAATATGGAATTACTTACTACCAAGTGCCCAAGTTTTACACATATATTAACTGGTGAGTATTTGTCCTCACACCCAACCTGCTGTATCCTACTGGTCACGACTTCCATCTAGAACCCAGGTAACTACCTACATTTGTTACGGCCAGTCACTAGTGAGCATCAGATTGATTTTCAAGTATTGGTTTGCAGGGATTTGATTGGTTTTAGGATTTCATCATGAACGGACGATCACGATTGGAAAACCTGGGAGTACTGGAAGTAGCTGTCCAGAGAATCAAAGGATAAGAAGTAGTGGAAATTATCTGGTCGAAGTCGGAAAGCTATTCAAGTGCCTTGATATGAGAAATAAATTGCGCTGTAAATGTCACTGTGAATAATACAGTATCACTGTGTTTCTGTCAGATAAATTTACTCTATGATGGAATTATACTCTATCACGCTGCCAAAGTTCTACTCTTAAGTTGATAGTCCTGTCGCCGTCGAATAAGAATTACTCATCTAAATATTCTATCTGCAGTCAATCGATAAAACCCAACGAAAGGACCATTGAAAATCGGGTGTAAATAAAAGTGAACTCTGATGAGCCACAGATAAAAACAGAAAAACAGACAGTCAATCAGACATCAGGAAATGACAGATCACTTACCTGATAACTTTGAATTAACCCATCAAGTGGACTAAATATGTCAATCAGTAATTGATCCTGATCTCCAGCGGATTGATTCACTGCTGACAGATCTGTAATTCCTGATATAGCCTGGTGACTCATCTTTCTGATCTGTGTATAACTGACACCAAGCCAACTTCTGCAGTTGTTTAATGAATCTTCCAATTGACTCAGCTGATCAATAAGTTCTTCTAATTCCTGTCTATAATCGATAGCACTCGTGATGATTTGTTCAACTTGACTTTGAATAGTATCGATTTCAGTTGTTATAACTCCAGAATCCATTCGTAATTCAGATATATCCGGTTCGAGTTCATCTAGTAGTGTGTTGACGTCTTTGGCTGTCATAGACGCTGATTTAGTCACATCTTCAATGAAACTGCTCAAAGCTTCGGCTTTACCTCGTGTCTGTTGGATTAGACTACAGAAAGCCGGTGGTGTTGCTGATCTAAACTCACCAGATTGTTTTAAATGCAGCTGTTTTGATTGAGGCATAAATGTACTAGTTGTATACTGGGAATCTGTAGGATAGTTGGTTTTCCAATATCCTGATTTGACAGTCTCATTTCTTCTCAGGGGATATGGTGAAATCCTAATCGGACTCTATTATTAACAACGACAAAAACACAAATAATCATTGTAATAAGTTTACAGAAAAGAATTATACTTAAATAATGGAAAATATCCACTTCTATATTAGATTTGACCAACAGCCATTTCACACTAGTTGGTGACTCTTCATCAGTACACACCCACTGACCATTCAGCCACTAATGTGGAATCCTCTGGCCAGTGCATGAATTTTAGCGCCTGGCAGTTCATGATCGCAACGCAGAAGTCTGTTGAATTCGACATCCTTGCTAAAAAGTAGCATGTTATAACCGAATTCATTGAAATAAAGGAAGGAGAAAGACTAGGCTGCCTACTATCACCAATGCACTTCCTCGCACTGTCATGGCCTGGAACGTGCTGCAGACTGTGCATGAGTGTGAGGAAAGGGCCTACATTGAACAGACAAAAAGATCTTAGAGCATCTGAATTTTGCTGATTATTTGTACCTATTGTCACTAAAACTCGGAGATTCACAAGCGAATACCAAAAACTTGACAGAAGAGGCAAGAAAGCCAGAAGTTCAGGTGAAGATAGAGAAGACAGAAATGGTTTATAGACTTAACCGACAAAAATTACTAGTCACCTTCTCTGGAGGGAATCTAGAAGAACTCAGTAGTTTCACGTATTTCGGCCGTATCTGTTCAACTGCAAGTGGAAACACAGATGAGGATGTCAGGGCCAGTTAGCATCGTGTTGCCAGAATTAGGGGGGGGGACATCAACAGTACTTACTAGGTACAATGACCAAGATGTGAATATTACTTAACACTGTTGATAGGCCAGTACTTCTATACTGTTCACAGACTCACTGAGCGTGTCACGAAAATCATTCCCTACAGGCTTCTGCAAACTGTCATCGAAAGCCTCTATGCTGAAGATCAGATAGCCGGCCGGGCAGGAACGACTAGCAAGCAACAAGAATCTCTGACAGGTAGTAAATATGCAGGCGGAAATGCAGATGGATTTGACATACGCTGAGACATTCAAGTGAAACCAAACACCAGGTAGGTGTTCCTCAAAGCAGGAGTGAATTTGGGCCAGTGAACTGGGCATGGACCTGAGGGTGTTTTGGGAAAGCCACATGAAAAGGCTGAGATTTAAGCTTGTTGTCAGTCGTGGAGCTGGTTGAAAGAACGACTTTATGAGATGGAAATGTACCACTGAAGACCTATGAATATTATGATCATATAGACAAAATAGATATGAATAACTTAAATTAAAAATGAAAACGATAAAGAGAAGCAAGAATCTGATTACATATGATCAGTATAACTTACCTTCCCATCACGTATCCTTGGCAACTGTTCTGAAACTTCTCCTGCCCATTGTTTTGCCTTTTTCAAGGATATACTCAGTTCGCGTATTTTAACTTTTACACGTTTTAAACAAACAATATTCTGTTCAACTGATTGTTGATTCTCGTCAATTTCACTAGTCAATAGCCTTTTTTGAGTTGATCGATTAAACTCGATATTACTGATGTTATTGTTCGTAGTAGTGTTACTATTATTTTCAGAATTTAACAGCAGACTTTGTGTATTTTTAGTTACTAACTCTTTTTTTAATTCATTTAAACTGTTAATTATATTGTCAATTTCAAAATCGATTTTATTGATCTCATCCAATCGATTTTTATCACACAGGAGATTTGAAATTTTCACCTTTATTGAAGCATGCGCTTCTTTCCATTTTTTAAACCAATTTTCAATAGTAATAAATTCTGCTTCAAAACTTTTCAACAATTCATTCTGTTTATTCTGTTCGTGTTTAATACCTTCAATTTGTTTTCTGGCATACTGAAAGATTTGATTCGATCGGTGAATTTGTTCAGTCAATAAATCTTGTATTGAACTGTTCACCTCATTCTGTTTCAATTGTTCAACCCATTCGTGTACAGGTTGAGTGTATGTTTTACCAATGTCCAACTTTAATTGAATTTCATCTGTCCTACTATTGTCTTTAAGGGGAAACTGTTTTTGATTGGCACTATCTTCTTTTAAGTGATGTACCAGTTCAGTGAATTCCTTGATCCATGCATCCAGATCTTTATTCGACTGGATCAATCGCGTTAAATACGTCAACTTTGCTTGAATCGTATTAACATCCTGATTGATTTGTTGAATAACACTTTGCTGTGTTTGTTTCACGGTATTACAGATCTGATCTACACGATGATTGATTGTCTGTCCGTCCGGTTGTCGTTCAGTAGTTAATTTAGGCAGTGAGCTTTGTGTATTGACTAGTTGTCGGATGAGTGTTGAAAATCTCTCGGCAAGACTAGTCAACGGCTCGTTGGCGGCGGACTTTTGCAATTCACGTAGCCTTTGTAGAGCTTTCTGATAGTAGGCATTTAACTGTGACAGGTTATACGTGTTATTTTTAGATTCGTCATCCAGCTCACTGATTGACAGCGATGAGTTAGTATGGTATATATTGCTTTTACTACTGTATAACATTTCCTCGGTCAGCGCTTCACCTTTCATTTCCTGGAATTGTTGCTGCAGATTCTCAAACCACTTTTCGTAATTAACAGCATCTCCGTGGAGTGTGATTAGTTCACTGTTCGCTACACCAAGGTCATGCATATAATCACTCAGAACACATCGAAATGATGTGTATTGATTAAACAGTGATGAACTTTCAAATGCCACTTTTAATTCTCCGTCTGCACTTTGACTACTTATTTGCGTTTGAGTAGTTTGCAGCTTATCGAGACAATTTGAACGGAAATCGTTCAGATTAGCTATAGTTTGTTGTGTATTTTTGATGAATAAATTACACACTTCACTTAGTTTACTAGGTGAGTAGTTTTCAGGCAAGTCTAATTTCAGTTGAAGCATTAGTGTTTTAAACCTCGCACTGGCATCATCATAATATTTATTAAATTCTCGTACACTTCCTTTGAATTTCTCCAATTTCATAACATTTTCTTCAATTTCTCCGATTCTTTCATTGATTGCTGTTAAACACTTGTTGTAACGATCGATATAGCCAGTCAGATGGTCTTTGGATGGTTTTACAGAAGTTTTGTTATGCATAGCCTCGTAAAGATCGAGTTTATAATGTTTAAAGCCTTCAAGATCGTTGCGTAATGCATACCACTTTTCAACATTTGATGCGGAGATCTCCTCTTTCATTATTTCGTCAATATTATGCATTTTCATCATCGTTAACAGTGATGTGGACGTTTGTTTCAGCCTATTAAGTTGACTTTCATACTTTGACAGTTCTTCATCTATACTCCTTCCATTCACTTCAAGGCTATGTAAACTGTCTTTCATGCTTAATAAGGCACTTTTAAGATTACTCAACCGTGATCTACCCAATCCAGTGATACGTTCATGAAGTGTTTTGATTTCTGGAGTATTCGTTAACTTTTGTTGTTCTAACTTATTGATCAACATTTCTAATAATTTTTCACCTTGTTTACACTTATTCTCTAAATTATTTACATCTTGTATATGCTTTTCAATATGTTTATGAGTGGGTGAAGACTGTACACTTTGTATATTTGATGTTGGGATATTGTCTTCAAGGTTAGACAACTCGTTTTCATAACCTTCAATCCATTCATTCACTGAGGTGTACAACTTAAACAACTGATTTTCATTCTCCAATAAATTTTTATATTTTGCTATCATATCGTTTAAATTATTGACTAATAAGTCAATTGATTTTTCCATTGATTCACAATATTCAAAAATTTGGACATCATCAATAAATTTGAATTGTCCACCGGTTTGTGGTTTACTCAATAATCTATTAGCTTTTTGTTTAATTGCTTTAAAATCATTTTGTATATTGATTAATTGATATTCTTTAATTGTTTCCAGGTCATGAATAAGTTTCCCTTTGATGGATGATTTTTCACTTTTTACTGTAATACATGTAATGTCAATTTCAGTAGGTAAGGATTTTTCAGAAATAATATTTTTAGTTTCTTCATACAACTTTTTCAGATCGTCCATTTTGGTCAATAAATTGTTTAAATCTGTTAAAATCATTCTGAATTCATCAAGAATATCTTGAATCCATTCGACTGAAGAGTTTAATTCAGTGACGAAATCATTCCAGTCAACTGAAGGATTGAGTACAGTGAATGTATTATCATTCTTTAGTTGTATAATTTCAATTACAAGTTTATGCAAATCAATACATTTATTGATTTTTAAAGGTTCAATTGATTTCACATCTTGTTCATTGATGATTATTTGATGAATATTACTGAAATCGCTCTGATAATCCGTTAACTCATCAATAATCATTTCTAAACTTTGTTTCAATGGAATATATGGAGTTGATTTCACATTAAATTTATGCAAATTTCTTAAAATTTCTGATCGAATTTTATTCAGTTGATCTTTACACTGACTTAATTTTGTTTGAAGCGATTTGAAATTCTCTTTTTGTGTCTTATAGGAATTTTTCCAGCTGGATAAATTTTCATGAACATTTTCAAGTTTAACACTCACGGAAACTATAAGTTCATTAATTTTATCATTATTTAAATTTGCTTGCTTATAATTGTTACGTAGCTTTTCATAACGACTGTTCAATGTTACATATTTGTCTGACGCTACATCAATTCGACCTTCAAAGTCTTTATCTAATGCTTTCTGTGTATTTGATATGTTATCAGACATTTGATTTATGATCGTATCTGATAAGTGATTCACTTCAGAGTCCAATTCTCTTAAGTTTTCCAAAAAATTATTCTCAAGGTTGTAGGATTGTTCACATTTTTCAATTGTACCCTTAATTTTCTCTGTCAGTGTTTCTTTTCTTCGTGTGTAGTGTTTTAAACACGTAGACAGAATGTCATCTATGCTTGAATAGGCATATTTCGATGAGACATTTTGAATAGCATCAGTCAGTGTGGTTTGATTTACACTCGCCTCTGAATTTATTCGACCCAGTAGATCGTTCATTTGTTTTATCAGATATTCACCTGACTCCGTGGAGATCTTTGAACAACCAGAGTCGTAATCTTTTTCAATTGAATCTAAGCTGCTCTGGGCCTCTTTGTAACAGATTACGACTGTGTGAAGAGCAGTGGTGAAACGTGATGCTTCAGACAGCCTATCGAAGGCATCACTTGTCGTCTGATTGATTTTACCACGTAGATCACTTTGCATTGTGGACAGGAAGCTGGAGACTTTGGGACGAGTCAGTATCAGGCTATCGATTTTCTGGACAACTTGTTCTTCAAGTTGAGAGAGTTTTGAAGATTTATTACGATTCGACGGTGATTCACGGGTTAGTTCAACACCGAGATTTTGACAAATCAACTTCATTTCGTCAAAGTTCGACTGATAAAATGTGTAAAGCTCATTGACGTCGAGGCTGCTAGTGCCTAGAGGCTCCTTTTTAGTGATACTGAGGATTTTATCAGTATTCAACTTGAGAAGAGTTTTTATACTGTCCACTGATTGATTTAATTGGTTGAGCTCTCCAAGTGTACTGGTGATGTCGTTATAATCCTGGTCGAGCTGTTTATTGAACTGATCCAGTTGCTCTTGACATTCATGCAGATCTTTCGGGATGAAGTTTAGCGATTTCGCCTGACTTTTTAAATTGTTAAACTTTGTTTGTAATCCGGTTTTGCTGTTTACACGAAGATCCTTGAATGGAGGGAAAAGGTAAGGAAAAGCACGGGATGAGGAATGACAAATAGATGGTTGCGATTATATGGAATCAAAAAGTTACCAAAAAAGAATGTGTTGAAGAAGTTACCTCGAGATACTTCATTCCTTCTGTGTTCTCAGCTGAACACAAGCCTTCAGGCCAATAAATTTTCACTGGCCCTAGCCCGGGTGTGCTAGCCTCAGAGTAAACCTTCTCTATTCTCTAATCTTACTACATAGTGGTAAACTAGGCGAAGTTTAGGAGTGCGTTGGTGGCCGGAGATCCACTTCAGACCTCCTGTGAGTGTCCTGAGATGAAAACAGTGGAGACTAAGCGAAGTTGAGGAAACAATTTTACTTTTACTGAGATTTTGTTGACTGGGGTCACTATCGATGTTTGAATAGACGGCTGAAACATAAATAGGAGATCGTAACTGGAATGTAATTCACTAGTTTTGTATTCTAATCGATACAGAGACCATCTCATTTCTTTTATTGCCAGTAGGACTATCCAAAAGACGAAGTATCCAGGCTAATGACTAATTTTTGTATCCATCGGTTCACTTGTACGTGTGGAGCCTATTTGTACTGGCTGTTGCTCAAGGAGCTAAAGTTTTCGTGCTAGGGAGATCACCAAGAAGTGTGGCTAAATAAAGGTGTAGTAAAAACCATCTGGTCCAAACAGGCCATAAAGCCAGAACACTGAAGAATGACTAAAAGCCTCTAGATGCTGAATACTGACAAGCAACAGAGGCCATTGGAATTTGCCTCAAACAACCGGACCCCTGCATACAAAAGAAACAAGTTCAGCCACTATTTCGGTTTTTAAAAGGAACTGTGGTGAAATTTCACCTCGAACTGCGTGTAAACAGCAAGTACCCGAACAGTCTGAAAAATGTAAATCTGATTCCCGTATATAAACTCATAAAAGATAATTCGTGATAAAAGACTATTAACATATTGCCATGACAACTCACAATACTACTGTTTGTGTAAATAAATAATATATCTATGGTATAAATAAATGTTAGAACATGATTAGTCAGTGTTTCTCATATGATATGTAACCTAGACATTCAACCCTAAAGGTCACTACATCCGATTTTCATCAATATATGAGCTTTCCAATGAGAACACAGTTTACATAAAAACGTCTTGGACTTGGGTTTCGTGCTTGTTGGCAACAGTCAGCACGACACAGGTACAGTCTTGAAGTAACTCATATCAATTCTGAGATTCGAACTCCAGTTGATGAATGCTGCAGTCAGAAGACAAGGGCCAGGCAACAGACCGTTTATTGAGGAAATCAACAGATATCTATGTATTTTTATGTACATTATTATTAGCGTTATTGTTAGCATAGAAACAGCGTATTCTGTTTGGTTGTTTTCTCGCTGAAAGTTAATCTGTCATCTTTTGTGACCGTTTATTCTGCGACTCGTATCCACCCACGCAAAGTCTTTGTTCTTCTTTTTCTCATGACTAAGATTTAGGAAGTAAATTGCCGTCTACCAATTTTGGCTAGCAGACAGCTCTCACCACATTACTGTTGTGGCACTCAGGCTTATGGCTGACCTCCTGTAGGTCTGTAATGGATACTCTGGTTCATAACTAGCTAGTGACTACTAGTCAAGTGTGCATTGTAGCCACCATGCTAGGTGGCATTAAATAAAAAGACTGGACGTATGACATTAGTTACTGACATGTGAACTTCCAGTTTATTGATCATTCACAGAAATAATTGCTGGTCATATATTGCCTTTCGTCCGGGAAGAAGTATCAGTATCAGTAAGCACAAACTCAAAAAAGAAAACAGTATTTAGTCATGGACACAATAATTAAAAAAAAAGATAATGCAAGTTGATAATTATGAATTTTTTTAACACAACGCATGGTCAGTTAAACTCACTTCAATCTGCTTTCTCATGGTCAAGTATGAATCTTCCAATAGTTGACTGTCAGTCTCCATATTGACATAACTAATTGTCGGTGTACTGAGAGTTGTGTTCCGTTGACGCTCTAAATTCTTCAGGCTTAATCTGAAGTTATCCACACCTTGCTTGAATTCCTGCAGTGATTTACTCTGTTCACTTGTGTTGGCAATTTTTTCGTCTAAATTGCGTTTTAATGTTTGCAGACGACTTTGCCAGGTATTGATTCGTCCCAGTGACACAGTATCCTCCAATGACTGTGCTTCAGACTGTAATCGGTCATGAGCCTGTTGTCCATGTGAATTGATACTGCCAAGTAATTGTTTGTAAAGAGTATTATCTGCCTGTATACGTGATATTATCTGAATGATGGACTGAGAACCGTTTGGAGATGTCGAGTTTTGAGTGACTTGTTGCTCAAGATCGTCCAACCAATTCTCTTCAGTTTCAATACTACTGACCAGTTTAGCGTGACTGTCAATTTTCGCTTGAATCTGTTGAAGTAAAGTAGGAGGGGGTAAATTAGTGACTGAAAGTAGAAATACAAGGGGAGAACAGAACTGTTATGAAATTCAAATTCATTCTGAAGTATTGATACTCTTGAGGTTACTAGAATTATAAAATAAAATGTTTCATATGATAATAACAACTCTATGATTGTATTAAAAAACAGAGTTTATTAGGAACACTTTGATGCTTACTAATAGCTGACTAAAGGACCAAGTGGTCTGGAGTTCTAGTGAGAAATCGTAACCAGCTAGGTCAGGTGTGAGGTCACATACTCACCGATGACATTGGCTGGTGGTGGTGGTGCTAAAACTCGCGAGAATTCAAAATTCATGGACGACTGGATTCCTTCCCAGTGGCTAGACGGTCAGCGAACTCGACACATAACCTGAAAGTCTTTGATTCGACTCCTGGTGGGTTGATTGATGCATGTTACTGAAGAGTCCCAAATCAGGACGAAACACATATCCAGTATTCCTTGGTCGTTTTCAGTGGTTCTCTAACTGATGTATCAGTTAGTGATCAAACTTGAAATCAACCATGTCCCAAAAAACCAACATTTGAAAATGGGATGCATTCGCGCAATGCATTTCGAATAATCTGATCACGTGTATTTATTTGTCAAGTCACTTTAATATATGTGTAAAACTTGGGCACTGTGGTAGTAAGTAATTCCATATTAGTTTGTTTATTAGATATATCACACAGTGAAACAGTATTATTTACTGGATGACGTTTCAAACAAAATTTATTGTTCATAATCATATCATCAATTATAATCACACGACTTTGACACTTGAGTTTTATAGTTTTCTTTGTTTTCTCCTATTTGTCGTAGGGGGAGTAGAATTTTCCAGATATCTGGGACAGGTGATGAATCATTCCTATAACATGTATTTGCAGTTGATTCGATAAACAAAGCTTCTGTTATCAATCTCTCCCTATACCCTGTGACATTAGATTTTAAAACTGTCATCCTATCCCATCCTATTGTATGGTTGTGTGTGACTGCATGTAGTGTGCGGTGTAGCTGAACTATTCTCTAGATTTCTTATCTTATTTGGATCAAACAATCTACATTTTGCTAAGTTTGCTAGTAGAACAGGGGCAGTCAGACTAGCTGAACATAAAAACTTAGCAAAATGTAGATTGGTTGATCCAAATAAGATAAGAAATCTAGAGAATAGTTCAGCTACACCGCACACTACATGTAGTCACACACAATCATACAATAGGATGGATGGGATAAGATGAAAGTTTTAAAATCTAGTGTCACAGGGTATAGGGAGAGATTGATAACAGAATGTTTGTTTATCGAATCAACTGCAAATACATGTAATAGGAATGATTCAACACCTGTCCAAGATATCTGGGAAATTTTACTACCCCAACGAAGACAAATAGGAGAGAACAAAGAAAACCATAAAACTCAAGTTTCAAAGTCGTGTGATTATAATTGATATGACTATGAACAATAAATTTTGTTCGAAACATTGTCATCCAGTAAATAATACTGTTTCACTGTGTGATATATCTAATAAACAAACTAATATGGAGTCAGGTCACTCTGTTTCGAAAATGAAAGGCCAATTAGAATAAACGAAGTAATAAGGGATCAACACTGCTCTTGTTGTTTTTTTTTTCATAAGCTACAAGTTGGGGAGCTTAATTTTACGGATAGCTGTCTTCTCATCTTATTTCAGTAAGCACCCCTCACTAATTGTAGTGATAATCCTGAATGCTCTTTTGATATCTCAACTTTGTGATTCATATCAATGAAGTGTTTCTATAATAACAATCTTTTTATTCAAGTCAATAAAGCATTTCACCATAGACAAATCTGGTAGTCTGCCACCACTTATGTTTATTGGGCAAACAAATTCCATCTCATTCTTTAAATATGAACTCCGTTTTCAAATACACCGTTATCCAAATTTATCAAACGAACTAAGCGTTTTAAATTATACACAATGGGAAAACTCTTCACAGACATATTATCAAAGTATTCGGTTGATGATGATCAGCAGTGGAATCCATCGTGTCAGTTTTGTCTTATTTCGGACTCGTTGGTCAGCTGGATACACCTATGATCACCAGTGAGTGATGGTGTTCTAAGTGGGACTCCAACCCTAAGCCCATTGTCTTAAATATTACGGCGTTACCCAGTAGGGTCCCTTAGCTTAAATAAAGTAGTGGGATAAAGTTGGAGTCTCAGTGGGAATGTCATCACTCACCCATTGGAGATAGCAGTTACATCCGGATGACGAATCACAAAACGAACACTGGGCATCCTGGATTCCACCGCTGGTCACTATCGACTAAGATAACATCATGTTAGTTTTCAGACATTTTATTGGAGCCTCCGTATTAGGTCAATCAACGAGAATTAGAAAATTAAATTGTAAAAGGTGTTAGGTGGCCAGGTGATAAGCAACTGTTCTAAGCTTTCCCTTTTTTTTACTATTACTATTCTCAGTACTACTCACCTTTTTCAACTCTGCTTCATTCACCTTTTGTAGATTACTCAATTCCACATGAAAGGCGGACAATTCTCGACGAGCTAACATAACCACAGCCGTAGTATCATTACGTCCTGTAGAGTCAGCTATCTGTTGTACAGCATTACGACAATGTGCCAATCGGTGTTCGCCTTCATTATTGATTAGTGCAATAAAATCAGTTAAACACTTTTGTTTAACTAGTAGACAATTTTTCAGGTGTTCTGGATTCATCAAGTGATGATCTGAGGATTCCATTTTTGCAGCGTTGTTCAACTTCTCTTTGTAGTCATTGTAGGCTTTGTGTAGCCATTGACGCGAAGAGTGAATTAGCACTGGGAATGAGCTTATTGTTTTCATCTGTTTTTGTGCTTCATTGAGAAGTTTCTGTGTTTTGTTTGACCGAGAAAATACACATAAAATTTTAGCTGATTAATAAAGATGCCCAATTGTAAATAATAACAGCTTTACTCCAAACAGTAGTTTTGGTACAAATATGGAATTTTCAGCATGCAATACAATATTGCATCTAATTTTCTCATTACAGGGCAATAATTATTTACATTAATAATATTGTCCAATAAGAAATGAATATAAAGTTAAATCAAGTGAAAATATTAACAACAATGTAACAGTGAGAGCAAAATAAATTCCAATTACTTAGAGTTCTTCAGTAAGCTGGTAATTTCCTGTCTTATACACTCTTCTCATCACATAAAATGTGTGCCTACGAAATAAGGTATTGTAGAGTTTTTGTACTTAGTCGTCCGATCATACAGTCTTCTAGAGTTGCCTCTAATTCCACCCGATGAGATGCAAGGAGAGAGTTGTGTATGGAGAGGATGTTCAGAGTCTGACAGGACAATATTTGGTAATTTCTTGCAGGAATCCAAGTGTCTATCTGCAGTATTATTAACGAGTTGGTTTAACAACAACAGCTTACTTGCCCTACTGACGGCTTCTAGTGCCCTACGCAGTGTAACAAAAAAGTCATTCTTAATTAGCTCGGGAAGGGCTAAGGGGGAACAGTAAAGAAGCATAGGCAGGATACAAGAATTAACAAACGGTAACAGTAGAGACGGGGTGATATCAGATTGTCTTAACTTCCTTACATAGAATGTCAAACGAAATATCTTTCTGGAAACTAACATGATATGGAAAGACCAGGAAAAGTGATCAGAGGAAATATACAGTCCAAGGTATTTAGCATTCGATTTGGTTTCAGCTTCAGTGCCATCTATGATACTGGAACCGTGCGAACTAACCAATTCACGCAAGTCACTCTTGCATCTGAAAGTGAAATTAAGAACCTGATATTTGAAGAGATTTATTTTAAGGCCATTTGAGCTCAAGGATCACTGACAAACATCTGACAGAAAATATTCGTTTTGGAAGAGTCTGACTAAGTAGGTAATGGACTGAGATTACAGTGAACAAGAAATATTCTTTTTCGATGACTTCTTCGTCGTCATTAGTTTCAGTAATCAAAGAATTACTTTTTTTTATTTTGATTTACAGCTTGATTCCACACCGTATTTTCAGTACAAGTATGGAATTTTCAGCATGGATATCGGTTATTAACAGCAATAAGACTATGAAGCTGCTGGCTGACAGAGATTAGTAGTTCTATGCCACTCACATTCACCAGTTGCACTTGCTAGTTGACCAGGTCGAAGTGATCTAAATACACCGGACGGCCATTTCACTCTTCTGGAGTGGAGCTCATCAGCGATGTACCCGGCTTTACTCGGCTTAGGTAACTGAATGAGATCAAACCAGCTGATTTCTGGGTGGGTGAACTGACAAAGCCTAAAATGAAATCCTCAATTTTTTCAAATTAGTCTACAATTTTGCGAATTAATTCTCAATTTGCACATTTCGAGGTGATTATTTCACCACTGTTTCCTTTGGAGACTGAAATGGGCTCTACTCCAAACAAGGGAAACAGCAGAATTCCATTGGAATTAAAATTGGAATTGATGCGTCACTATTTAATTGTCTTGAAAGATAACTGGGAATAAACAGCTCTGCCTCAAAAACATAATGTCCGGTAACTGACTTTCATATCACTGAAAAGCTACAATGAAAAGAAGATATAAGCCTATACTTTAAGTGAAAAGCAGACTGGAAAGCTCATACAACACTAATTTACGTAATTCGAAGCGTGTGAACTAGCCACTAGAAAATGAACATTAACTAATATGATTCTCCTCTTGGGTTCCTAGTGGAGCATAGTGATTCAGCACGATGTCGCCATTTCACTCCATCCTCAGCAGTCTTTCTTATTTGGCTGTACGACTGCCCATAAGCTCTCATTTGTTCCTCCTCACAAGATCTCCTCCAGGTTAGCTTTGAACTCACACCATTCGGGTTCCATTCGACAGCCCGTTTCATCAACGTGCATGTTCACTCAATCCAACTTCATTTCCACCTATATATTTGCTAGTTGGACAGTAGATTACTGGTTGGCTCGTTACCAGAATTCCTTGTTGCCTACGCTTGCTGGCTGCCAGCCAGTCATCTGATCTTCAGTAGTGAGATAATAAAGGCAGTTTTCTTCATCCTGGCTGGCTTTGACGACCACTGCTGACCAGATGAGTGAAAAAGATGACTTTCTGTATTAGTGGTGATTGTTGGATATCTTCATCACATCTTTGTTCTGCATTTCAAATTATCGGTTTTCACCTCCAAATCTTCTAGCTTGTGTGACATTATGCACAAAATATCATCCGCTAAGTCCAGTTCTTCTAAAGTATTTTCATCATTCCAGCATATGTTCAGAAAATAAATTATACAGATATCATTTATGCGTCTATATTGTTTCCACTAAACTAAGCGGAGCAAACATTTGAGTCAGAGGGGCTGGTAAAACTCAGCTGGCTTGTACTGTAACAGTTTTGATCACATATGCCTATCAGCAAAATAACCACTGAAAAGTAAATAGTTTGTTTCATTTTTCATGCTTTCTACAAGTTTGAAATGAAACTACAAATCCAACTTGTGAAATGCAATTTAATTAGAAGGAGGTTGTGTATAATGTATTGCGCAAAACACAAATAAATCAAGAAATTTCTTCCTCAATGCCAATAAGACTGGTAGGATTTAGTCTGCACCAAACCAAGGGTTAAACGCAGTACACCTTTTACCACGTGATGAGCAATCAGAGTATCCGTCACGGCTTTACATGTGGCAGAAGCTACGCTGAACACTGTGACTGCAGCGCTGAATGGCGAGGGATAGAGCCTCAGAGGGAGTTTGGTTTTCTTCAGGACTTGCTAATGAGCGCTAGCAAGTACGCAACCTGAGTCCAGATCTTCCTGCCGACTGACACCAACTGTCTAAGATCAATTCAGAGTACACCGTGATGACCAGGCACTTAACAGGGTGTCCACATCGCAAACTTTATTCACAGAATTCAGTTTGCACCAAACGAAGGACTAGACACTTGCTAACGGTTATCAGCCAGTGACCAGTCAAAGTGCGAATTGATAAAAACTCTTCATTTCTTACTTGTGTATCTTCTTCTAGACGTTCCAATCGTTTCGAAAGTGATTCAACCATATCCGTTGGAGTAGATGTCTTCTTTTCTAAGAATACAGAGTCGACTTCATCTCGGCCAGAGAAGATTTCATGCTTTTGAGACTGATTTTTTATACTTGTCATGAAGTTCTGAAAAAAGGGAAGGGTACAGATAGTAAAATAATAGGCATAATAAGAACTTAAACAGCTTTAGTGTTATTATTCATTCCCAGCGTTCCAAGTGGAACATAAGGCTTCAACCACGGCACACCTCCATCACACTTGGGTATCTACCATCACATACAGCTGCCGACTACTTTTCATTTCTTCCTCACATGATCATCTCCGTATCACCTGTCGACCCACTCACAACTCACTGTTTCCAATTCGGTTTCCATTCAACGAAATGGGAGTGCTTTTTTCACGTATTTTCACGTATTTGACAAATCGCTGTTTTTGTTGTGTTATTCACTTCGAGAACATTAAAAAAAACCTTAACTTGACTTTTGTCTGTTAAGTTTTTATTTTAAACATTTATATAGTCTATATTGGGTAATTTGTCTTGGCAGTTCCATTAGTTCATTATGTCAAAAGTACCACATAAATGTAATAGGGTGGAGTGTTACTTTTTGGTAGATGATGGAATACAGTGTAATAACTGTAAAAAGTGGTATCATAAGATGTGTACTGGATTACGTCCAGCTGCATACAAACGTTGTATTGCTCCAACATCCAACTGGATGTGCAGAATGTGCTGCTCCCCAAAGATGACTTTGATAAGGGAGGCTCACGAGCTACTGTCTAAGGCTATGGAACTTCCTGATGATAGCGTGGCGAGTAATAGTGACACAGACTGCCCGTCTGAAGATGACGCTGCAAGTGCCATCATGAATGTTACCACACCGGCGATTACTATCCCAGTTACCCCGGAAGTAAAACCTACTAGGCGTTCGAAGCGTCTTAGTAAGCGAAAGGGTAACAGAACGGAAGCTGCAAACAGCATCTCAGCACCAGAGAACACTGTAAGCGAAGTTCACCATGAAGGTGGTGCAGACACTGACCTCGATTGTACCATCAAAAACTGCAGCAGCCCTGAGAAGCAACTGCAGGCAGATGATCAGTGGGTAACGAAAATAAGCAATCGAAAGAAACATAGTAATACTGATGGTAAGCAAACGTCTGTTACCTGTAGCCAGGCTGCATCAGTAGTGGTGAGAAAAGACGTAGCCACTGCTAAACACGATAAGCTCTCCTTAGACTCTAACATAATTGTTGGAAATTTAGAAGACTCGAAAGAATCTGATCCCGTGAAAAGGCACGATCACGACCTTAAATTAGTGAGTAGTATAATAAGGAAGATGCTCCCAGCGAATTTCCCTGGAGTATCGATTAAAAAGCTGATTAGAATAGGCAAAAGAGATGATGAATGTTCTAATCAGCGAAGGTTGCTTAAAGTAGTCTTAGGTTCTCCTGATGAACGGAATCATCTACTGGCTAATGTACACAACCTTTTCGGGTCAGGAATTTCAGTCAGACCTGATTTATCTCTTGAAGATAGACTAAAACGAAAAGAAGTTTTGTCCCAGCTAGAAACAAGACGTAAAAATGGTGAGACTAACCTTAAACTGGTGGGTTTTCAAATAGTCAGGTCTTGGAAACGTATGCTTCCAAGACCTGTGTGGATAAGCCGGACCTCATAGGAAGCCTGAAGGTAGTGTACACTAATATACGTAGTATCGGGA